TTCCAGAATTTTTCAAACCATTGAAAGGACGGACCGGTGAATGCACCGATTACTCTGCGACACGTTGTTTCATCATTCCAGTTATTCGTGGCTCTGCATTGTTCAACATTCATGAGCCATCTTTGAATTTTTTCCGGATGAGCATCGTCAAAGGCGAGTAACTTCATGCCTCCTACTGTTTTATCGCTTTCTTTTTCCACAAATTTCGCTAAAAGTTCAACAACGCTTTCTTGTGTAAGTGTCGTTCTATCCGAAATTTGAGTCTGTTTATTCAGCCATTCCTCCAGCTGAGGATTTCTGGACATAGACTCATTGCTGGCCGTGCTACTGGGGCGACGGTGTTCATCCTCCATCAGGGCATCATCCATCAGTTCATTTTCTGTATCGGAACTGTCCCTATTTTCTGTTCCTCGCATCTGGCGACTAGATTCGTCAGCTGTTCTTCTTAGAATCTGCTGGCGTAAATCTGTTGAGCCATTTTTCTTCTGTTTGGCAGGTACCGTTTCCTTGGAATTTGACTCTGACGATGAACGCAGTATGGTCTGAGCTTCCGAGAATTCGACTCGTGATTCCTGTCTAGGCCTGCGCAAGATGCCAGCCGGATTACTGCCAGTAGCTATAGGCTGATCCACATATGACGAGAAATTTTGGGGATTAAATGGTGTAAAAGCGGGAGGACGTAATACGTCTCCTGTTGCTACCGGCGCTTCCCTTTGAAAGTATCCTTCACCGCCGCCAAGAGCAGCATCTGTATTTCGAAGCCGACGAAGTTCGTCATACGCTTGCTTTAGGTCCATTTCCATCTTGGTAAGTTGGTCTTGTTTTTCATGCCATTCCTTTCGGCATTGCGCATTTTCTTCATACAGCCGATTACACCTTTCAGACTTTTCATATGCGTCAGCCTGTGCTGTATTTTTCGCTTGAATCGCGTTCTCACAATTATCACATCTTTTATCCTTTTTCGAATCTTTTAATTCCTTTTGGGCCTTTTAAACATTCTCTCGCTCTGTAGTCAACAGACCCTGCAACCTCTCAATTTCCTTTTGGGACGCATCATCCTTTTCCTTGGGAATATGCATCGGGCCGACCAAAGACTTGTTATTCAGCTGCACTCTCACTTGTGTGAGTTCACGCTGTAGAGAGTCTTCCGCGTCTTTAGCCCGCTTCTTTTCGGCTTCCAAGTCTTTAGTAAGTTTCGTGGACGAATTCTGCTCATCAGTTAGTTTTTTTAGTTGTGACATTGTGCGCATCTTTTCGGCAGACAATTCCCCAGTGCTTTATTCAATTTTGGTCTAAATCAGCAATTTGTTTTGCCGTATCCGGTGTTGGATGAGCACTGAGGCCATCAATCGTAGCTTTCGCGTTTGAAAGATCTCTCTGAGCATCTTCCAACTGTTTTTCAAAATTACGATTCGTGTCTTTTAAAGTATCGCGCTCATCTTGCATTGCATTAAATGCGGCCTCCGCATTTCTGTTGGCTTGTCTTAGACTGTGTAAATTATCATTCGCAATACGTATTTCGTTAGCCAATCTATCATTTTCTATTTGTTCATTTTCGAATTTAACACGCATCTCATTGAAATCGTTTTGGAATTTCAATTTTTCGTTTCGTTCCGCATCTACACGAGCGTCCAAAGACATTGTATTACCCATTTCATCTACCTTTGTTTTTGTAGATGCGATGAGCGTGCGGAGACTTTGGATCAATACAGGCATAGTTTGCCGGACTATCAAGCCCACATCCTGGTCAGTTTCTGCCGCAGCTAACTGCTCATCGACTTCCCTAGCTTGAGTAAGGAAGTCCTCATCTGGTTGCTCAAAATCTTTTTCTGACACAAAACTATGTAATTTTAATTGTGCCGGATGGAATGTCATTGTTCCACCACGAATGCTTTTATTTGCTCTTGTTTCTGAACCCTCGGATATATCCGCTTTATCCGCAGCTGACAACGCTATCAAATTATTGTCCGACTGGGACGACTGGGGTTCTGTGTGACTCTCAGCCACGCTTGGAGTTTCCGATATGGGTTCATCCAATATCGCACCGGATGCCTGGGCTGGAATTTTCTCCTTAGTGCCGCGCGTAACCCGTTCATTTGCGGCTTGCTTCCCTTGGAGTTTTTCCTGTTGCTTTGGCTGCTAGATGGGCTGCTTGCGCTGCTTGCCTGCGCTTCCCTAAATCTTCCATATAGCCCGCCTTCCAATTATACGCGTCATTGACTGCCTTTTCGAACTGTTCATCTGTGATATCCAGGTAAGCTTCTGGAATACACTCTTCATGGTCTACCCACGTCTTATAATATTTGGGTTGCTTGGTTTTTGAATTTAAAAATCGTCTGATTTCCTGATATTCAACCCACTCCTTTCCACAAAATGCTTCTAGAGCTTCTGGTGGTTCAACGTTCAGGGCTAAATACATTAGCCCCAACGGTATTTCTTTAGTTTTGAACCGGAATCTGGTCTCGGCATGTGCTCTTTCGAATGCACCAATTATTACTCTTTCTTCCGGTACTTTACGCGGTGGTGGACGAGTCTTTACGACTGTGTCACCCGACATCTTACCTTTTATTTTGAATTAACCTTTGCGGCTAATTAAAATACCAAAACAGCAGCGATTGTGCTACTGATTTCTGACGAATATCGTTATTGCGATTGTGCAATAATTCTCACAAACTCACAAACAATCCTCCTTTTAGGTTTGAATTGCTTTGTAAGAATCAAACACAGCCGACCTTTGCGGTTTCGACTGTAACAAATTCCTAAAATTACGCTGCTGCACTTTACGCGCTGCCGTAATTTTAAATTCACAGGTCAATCACCGTTTGCCGGTGTTTACCTTTTTCACGGTCAACTCTGTCTAGCTGCTGATTCTGGCTACCGCTTGCGGCTTGCCTTTATCTAGCTGCTGGAGATCGTTATCTCACCTGGCCACTGACAATGGCTCGGTGCTTACTATCTGCTCTATCTGCAGGCCAGGTACACTGACACTGCAGATTACGCTTTATTCGCCGCGGTTACTGCTTTGCGCAGACAACCCGGAAATTACCCACACAGACACCAATTAATTACACAGCCGACCTTTAAGGTTTCGACTGTTTATTCCTACGGTCCAAATTAAATTAGATTAATTTAATTGGCGAGGAAGCTCACCAGTGAGGAAGCTCACAGTTGCGAGGAAGCTCGCTAAAAATAAATTAACTAGGCCAGATCTGGAACGCTGACCTCCTTCGGCGCACCTTTGCGGTTCGACGCCTTTCTGTACGGACCACTTTTACGAATAAATTACCATCAGACTTTCCACCAATAATTTTCTGTTACATCGGGAAAATTAAAAGACACCGGTGGGCGCCATGTCGTGTATAAGCGTTCACGCCGTTTAAGGCTCCATGAACAATCTTTACTCTTCCACGCCTGTAATGCTCAATCGGTAGGCACTCGTACTCTCAAACTGTAACAGAAGAACTATGGTGGAAATAAGACGAACGAATCAGGAACACGAGTCAGGAATCCCTAAATGATAGTCCAACTACAATCTCCGGTCGTAAGTCCTGTGAGGATCGGCAAGAGCTAGGACGATTGTGTCACGAGCAAACCTGTATACTAAGCGATAATCCGGGAACGACTATGCACTTCCGTAGGAACAAGTATTGCTGTCTCTTTATCCAATTCACATCACAGTTCACAACGCTAGGAAATCGTAATTAGAAGCAGTCTCAGAAGTAAATCTCAGACTACTGATACCGATATTAGAAGTAACAAGAACTTATATAGACTTCGCGTTATGACATCATATACATCGCTAGTAAAAGAGAACAGCAAATCACAGCATTGATTGACTAGATTATCCGTTATGTTGCAGGTGGAAGGCGGACAGTCAGCATCCAGTACGTACATCCGGCGTATGATCCTACTCCCATACGTCAGTAGAATGCAAACTTATGTTTTGTCACCAGCTGGTCTATTGTACTGTATGTCACAAACATTTGAAAACCGCAAAAATTAAGAGCTCCTCGACTCACTAATGGAAGTTCCCCAAGTTCAGCGAACCCACCCAAGAACCCCGCTACTCAGGAGACGAGTGGTACCGCATGTACCTCCGTTCCACCACCAACAAGGAAGTCAGCAGCAGATTCTTACGCTGCAGCTGCAAAACGTCAACCCCGTATGATTCGTGGTACGATGACGACCGATACGACGACTGAAAAACCTCGAAGTGAACTGGTCAAAACGCTGCAATGCAATCGCAAGCCCCATGCGGATTTCTGTGTGCGTGGCATCCCACGTCTTGGAAACTCTAAGTTTAAAACCGCGAAAGAATACAACGCATTTCTCGCCGCCCAGCTGAACGAAAATGGAATCCAAACACGATTTGTGAGTGTTTTTGTACCGCCGGATGGAGACAAGCGAACATCCACTTTTGCACGCATTGGGACATTTAAAGACATGTCTGAGAAAATTCTGGACCCTGAAATCTGGCCGTCCAATGTGTTTGTTAGGGAATGGATATACTGAATTTTGTCGCTGATGCGCATTCCTGAATTGTATATTATTTTTTGACAGTATTTGCCCAATGTGTTTTTTTTTCGGTGAGTGAATGCTTGCTGTGCTGTACTTACATTATTGCTGAGGGACTCTTTTCCGCTGAAGTGTTTAATTGACCGTGTCTGCAAATCTCGATAAGGAGTGATTCCTTGTATTTGCAGACGTTAAGCATTAAAAACCTAAACCTAAACCTATAACAAGAAGCAAATTGTTATTACATTGGCGAACAGCTACTTAATCACAGCGACCAGCGGTGAATTGCAAAAAGCGAGGAGCCGTGACCGTCAAAGGAATAGTTACGAACACTAAAAACATTACAAACGGCGCACAAGGTGCAAACAGCAGAGAGCGGTACTAAACAGGAGGGAACGCTGACAAACAACAGATGAGCCCATACGACAAGTTATTAGGAGAAACAGAGTGGATAATGACAAGCAGGACAGCCTGTACAAAACGCTGAGACGCTAACGGCGGCTAAGGTGTAGAACCACAGTATTCCACATCCAGTTCATGCCATGCCGTGGTTGCAGACCGTCGTGGACGATGGACGCAACGGCGTTGCGCGGCTGCATGGACGTTAGTCAGGGGGTTGTGGGTCTCTTTAACTACGGCGGGGACCAGACCAATATAAATAAAAGTTAACTAGAAGTATTCTAAAATTCAGAATAAAAGCAAAGCGTAAAGCGCAGCTCGCAGAAATTTTTCATAATTTGTTAACCATCGAAAAAGATACGCATTTAAAACAACTAACGATTGAGAGGGAGTTCTTTAAGGCTCTTTGATTGGGAGCCACATTAAGAATGAAACCATAAGTATCATCCAATGAAGACTAGGCAGTTAAATTCCAAACCGGCTGACCTTTCACTGCAATTATTCTTTAAAAGTCGTTATTAGTGTGTACGAGTATAGGACGCACTGTCGCAATTCTTACTACGTAAAATTCTTCTTACAATTCTTATTACGTAAAATTAACAAACCAAAACCGTTCATAAGTCATCAAAACTGCTGCCGAGTGAGAGTGAATTCTTTAAGACTGTTTGTTGAAATCCATAGAAGAATCAATTACAGTAACCGTAAAACTATTTCCGAACCGGCTGACCTTTCGTTACAGTTCTTTGAAAGACAGTGCAAACAGTTTCTACGACTACGAATATTGTGTAAAAACAATTAAACAAAATTAAGTTATCCGATAAATTAATGTTATTACTTACTACATCTCAGATAATTTTGACAAAACTACAAAGATGCGGTGAACGACCGATCATTGTCTGTTGAAATTATTCTCAACGGAAACTATAATCCGATCCATAAAGGCCAGATTTAAAGAGAACTTTTATTCAAGAGCTTTTACCTTGTGCTGCCGAACGCGTAGGGGAAAGAAGGAAAGCCGTTCGAGCCATTAGACTGCAGGAGATTATATAAAGCGTAATGGGCGACGGGAGTATACAAGTACAATGGGAATGGTAGTCGGCGTCCGGCAGCCACAAATAAGCAGCAGTCAGTAAGCGGCGGCCAGGGATACTGGAGAGGGATACTGGAGATGCCCAATGGGATGCACAGAATATCAGTAATATGAACGCAAACCCAGAGAGGAGAGGTTAGGGGCGCCGTGTTGGCCAGAACGGCCGGAGGGGAGGCCAAGAACGGCGTTTCTTAATAAGCACACAACTAACAGCGGTTTATGGCAAGCTCAGCTGTTGATCACAGCAGAGCACAGAAAAATCATTAAAATCCTGATCCTGCAAAAGAAAATTAATTTCATGTTAATCGATCGGAGCGCAGCGAAGGTCCTCTAAATTCACCACCAATGCATATAAATGCACTCGTATTTTTGTCCGTTACGTAGTCATTACGGAAGTAACTGCAATTGCAAATATTACCGCATAATAACACATAACGCATAATAATACCGCATAATAACGCACTTTTCTAGTACTGCAGTGTTATACAGAATTAGGCAGCAGCAGAATATGGAATTGGGCAGCAGCCAGCGAGCATCGTCTTTAATTTTTGAATTTACAATTATCAGCGGATCGGTAGTTCAGTACATTAATTAAACGCGGTATGTACTACGTACACTGCATCTCCCCAACAGTTTTTCAACATCGCTCACTGAATTTTTTGGTTGTGTTTCTGTTAACGAGTACGAGTACCTGTTCCGGCTGAATTCAAGAAATCTCTTGTTAGTCTTGTATCGGTTTATTTACTCTTAACACTTACATTTTAAATTGGCCGGACTTGTGAGCGCCTGCTCAAAGGTTCGTCTACTCCATGAATAATCTGGTCTACTCTAGTTGACATGTGGCACTGCAGTGCCAGCGGAAGATATTAGCACGGCTACTGTAGAACAGTATTAAGTACCGCTATGAATTTTATCAATTTTACTTAATTAATTTCTATATCTCCTGATGTACTGCATGCGCAGCGCCTGCACGCGGATGCCACAATCATTACATGGCGGTAAATAAGGACCCAGTTGCGGCTAAAGGTCAGCTCTACCGTACCTACGGCAGACAACGGACAGCTAATGGGATAGGTCACGGGAAAAGGAAAGGTCATGGGGTAAAATACCAAATATGTCGTGTCTTACATGTGTAGCAGTAACTTAAATTCATTCCAGTATTTTTATTATTAACTCCCACTTTTTATTGAGTCGATAAATACTTTATAGACGTCGATATAAATTTACCTTGTGAAGGGTTTACTCGCATTATTTAAAGCAAAATATTGGAAATAATATGTCTACCCGTACGTAATCAAAGACATCGTGCCAACACCGCTGACCGATTTATGATTTGTCGTATTTAATTTTTTTAATTGTGTACAGAATAACATTTGACAAAACCGTAAGAAAATCCCGCATAACACGCACAGATGTCGAACACAGTGCCACAGTACGAGTATCTTACCTGTAAGGCTTTTTTCAATCGTGCGCCGCGCCAGCATGGCCATTTTGGAGTGGCAGATGTTCTGGCAAGGGGGCTGGATAGCCGGCATAACGCAAAAAACCCCGAAAAAGTTCCCGAAAGGGTCGACTGATTTTGCGGGCACAGACTTGATACAGGTACCAGATACCCACAAAAACGAAAATGATAGCAACAAATATTACCAAGCCAAGAATAACGGCCGCCACCGTTTTCCAAAAGGTCAAACAGGAGCACACATAGTGAACAGTTCCAAATGCCCCCGTCAGCCAGCTGGTGTGATTTAGAAAAACTTCCATGTTACCACGCAGTATGAAAATTTGCAATGAAGTGGTACGAAATTCATGGTGATGACTGATATACGGCCAAAACAGCCTAATACTCTTACCCGCCAGGCCCATCACTGGTAAAAACTTTTTCCGTTTTGAAAACCCGCTTTTTTTACTTAAACGGAGGTCGCTGTCGCTGGAAGGTAGTATTGCTTCGGCTTTCGTCTCGAACAGACAGAAATCATTCCAAGCAGTCCACGATCCAGAATAAACACTCGGCTACGGTTTTGACGCAAGGCTCTTCCACAACTGAGATACCGGACGGTACTTCAAGGTTTCTGATTTAGACTAAATTAGGCAAACGCACCGGGAATTCCTGCCTGGTGAGAAATAATCAGAGTTCCTGCCTGGTGAGAAATGACGCAGTTGAATAACTGAAGGGAAGGCACGGAGTATCGGCTTACTTCGATAATTATTATGACACTAATTCTCTCCAATCAGCAATATTCAGCTATTTCAGAATGTTTGTTGCCTTGTCATCTTTGTATCCGGTGACCTCCAGTTCTCCGTATCCGATTTTGACGCACTAAAGTACAGTAATTACATTTACAAGCCGTTACATTGCCCGTCGGTGGTTGGATCTCGGAAGTCATGTTCTGGTTTGTCAACTGGGCTGATCAGATACTTGGTGATCGTGCTAGTGCATTCCTTTTACTACATTACTTAAGCCAGAAAAATCAGCAAGAAAAAAGGAATTTTGCTTTTTCACAAGGATCCCGCGGAATGAATGCGCCAACGCCAGCGGAGCATAGCCAGCCAGAGCAAAAAACAAATACTAGTCCAATTCTCATCGCGGGGAAAAAGTGGCCAGAAAAGGTACACAGAATATAAGCCGATAAGGAAGACCGGCGGGGGCCAAAATTTGGATTAATTTTATGCTTTTATGGGTTGTATGACCATAAATGCAAATTAATTAAAGTTCAATTATTCAAATAAAATTGTACAGTTCAATTCGTCCGGTTTTCAAGTTATGTTTTAAGCACTGTATCTAGGGAAGATTTTTAAGTATCAAGGTAGTCTACGAGTAAGAGAGGTTCTTATTTCAACGATATGTACGCTTCCAATTTTCAACGGTATGTTTAGAGAAAGATCAAGCGAAAGAAAGATCATAGATGAGGTGGCTGCTATATGCGCCCCAGACTCGCAGTTGTAAGAATCTGCGGACAATGTTTGTCAATAGAAGGCAAGAAACCACAGCTAAACATTATTATTATAGGCATACCGGAAGTACATAGGTCTCCAATGCACTGGTCACCGTGCGAATATCCACATCGGCCTGATCGGTACATCAGCTGAAGCAATAGGCGGGAAACTTTGGAACCGACACCGGCGACACTGTACAATCCTTGCTCGTGTAATCCAACCAATTTTAAAACCATCGTTATCCCATGCAATAAGCGAACTGAGAGTGCAGAGAAGTTGTTTCCGCAACGAACGGCGTGGATCATCTTTTTTTTCTCGATAAAATCACCGCACAATGTGACAAACCGGAAGTCATGCTCACTGAGATCGCGGTGCTATATGCAATACTATTTAATTCTTTCAATAACATCTTTAATAACATTTTAAGGGGGACTAGTTTATGGTTCAACAGCAAACAGACACACGATCAATAGCGCGTTGATAAATCACCAGCTGCGCCACTTACAAGTTATGCCAGCCTTTGCAAAAAAAGCCGTACAAATTGAGCTGCTCATCCGTTTTGCGATATCTAACTTGATTCTAATAGGGGAATGTTTGCTTTATAAGAATACACTAAATTTAGAAAATCATTAATTTCAAAAATCGGGTTCGTGCTATAAATTAGCCCCCTTACTGTATTTCGATTTCAGTTACATCTTCAGTAATATTTAATTATCTCGTATTTCCGTAAAATTCAGGTGTCAACTTCTTTAAAATCCAATTTAGGTTTTCTGTTTAAGTCAAAAAAAGCACGTTTCACAACTCACATTCCGGCTTGTGGAAGTGTTTTCCGGGCTTCTGATAAACCTGCAAATTCCAGAACAAAATCGTTTAAAAGTGTGCAAGTGGCAAAAGCTAGTTTGCAACAGGTCAATTTATTTTATGAAATAAATTTTATTTTCTTTATTATATTATGTGGGCAGAAAATTTTCTCGTTGTTTAATTTTTAAACGATTCGGTTCTTTCCCATCCATTATGTCCTTCCAGCGATCGCGACCGGCTTCGCACGATGCTTGAAAGGTCATGACACCCGGTCTACACAGGCAAACCAGATTTCTAATAATTACGCGTATTTATAATCATAATTTATTTTGCTGATGTCGCAATAATAAAAAGAAAAATGGAATTAAGCTATCCAAAATATTGTGAATTTACGCGAAAAAATCAAAATTCGATTTGTTTAGCAAGCATTTACCGTTCATCAGTGACGAGACCAAAGCAGAAACGTTTCTCAATCGAATCACCGGGACGTCTATAAATAAGTAAAGGAATCTCACTGTCCACACACACAGACAGATTTTCCGCTTCTCCTGGTATTTCGGCATTTTTTACCTTTGGTACGACTTGAGCGTCAAGATTTGTTGTGGACTCTGCAAAGACACATGGTTATGTAACGCAGTGGTTACAGATAACTGTTAATGAGCGCTTGAGTACCACTACCGTCGCTTTGCCATGGGTGTGTGAATGGGAATACGGCACCAACAGCAACTTCCTCGAATCTTTGTCGTACTCGCAATATTGCTTCACCCATGTCGTCCCAAACGCTTCTACATATCAAAGGGTGCATAATAATTGCTAAAAACGCCTGAAATTCCGGATAACTATCCGGAAAATATCCAGATGAACTCTTAATTTTTTACCTGAAACTCCGGACCGAGACAAATCATTTTAATCAGTTGCAGGCGCTATTAATCAGAAACAACAAATACAAACTCGCGAGTCACAAAATGCCAATACTTACAGTTTTTCGTATTGATAAAAAAATGTCAATATCAATATTTCAATCAGTTTTTATAATATTGCATTGATCATTGCATTCGTGCATACACAGGAATGCATGCACAGGAAAAATATAAAAGCACCGGAGTTGTGATAAATGCACAAAATTGCTACCGGAATAATGAGACGGAAACGGTTATATCAGCCATAAAAACTTGTTTAACAAAATGGCAATTATATGGCGTAGTAGAATCGCACTTACGTTTTTCCATAAGACAAACAAATCCTTTCGCTCGGTTAGTCGCTCTTGAAAGATTCCCGGCGTTCTCATTCGGTGCAGCATCATGGTCGGATTATAATGGGGAATGCTGTGCGGGTGCCAAACGGTAATCCGGGCCCAAGGCATGCAGCACCATTTCTCTTAATAGTTTCCGGAAGGAGCAGGTTCCCTTTCAGAAAGCGCTGCTGCAGATAATACACTAACAAGATTATAAGAATAAATAACGTAAAGGAAATAAGAGCTACAAAATTGGATAGCGCCGCTGACCAAAAGGTCAAGCTCCAGTTACACATGCGCAGCAATCTTCAATATTTATCCCAGCCGTATGGGTGTACTGTAGTTAATTTGCTCAGCCATTTTACCGCAAACGATGTGGCAGGAAAATGTAATGGAAACCGGTCGCGCTTGATATGGCTGCCTGGCCATGGGACTCTTTGCTGCCAGGTTCCGAGGTTCGGCACCGGTAGAAACTGGGCCCGTTGATCGCCATTGTCGAGTTAATTTTCCACCAGGGAATCACTATCCTTTTTCCTTCCGCTTCATTAAAGGGAGAAATTTCAGCGTACAATTCTGAACTGTAGGCCTAAATTTCTCCGGTTAATGAAGCGGACTGCAGCCAGTCTCCAATTTCTAAACGCCAGCATCGCGCTTAATATGCACTACCTGTACCTTTAAGCAAGAAATTAATCACCCGGCTTGTACATACGTTACCGCCAAGATATTCCCCCAATCAATAATTCTGTAGTAAATTAATTTACCGCCGCTGATAGTTATCGACTTAATATTGAATGCGTCACGTTCAACTAGGTAAACCGGATGACGCTGAACACATGCCTCAATAAGCGCGGGTCGAATTCTACTAATGCCGCTGGGTGGTACTTTTTCCCAAGCAGAGGTACATAATTTATACGAGTATATCACGCAACATAGGATACAGTATATGCAGGAAAAGTTACGTCGCTTGCAACCTGTATTTACTGAAACTGAATACGTAAAACGAAATAGAAGTCACGCAGATAAAAAAGTGCCGAATGGTTGTGTACGGAATCAAAGGTAGTGCTCAAAAAGATAGTGTACCGAATAAAAGGTAATACAAAAGGTTGTGTAGGAAGAAAAAGGTAGCGAAAGGTTGTGTACGGAGTGGTCACCAAATAAAATTAATGACATTTTAAATTATAAACGACAATCGCTTGTCATAGCTCTTAAATACAGGTTATGGGTGGTGTAAATTTGGACGCACCGTTATCGACGGGAGCGACGAAGAGCACTTTCAGACGTACCGCGGGCCCGGACATTGATAAAATTAGTCTGCTGTACCGTTCTAGATTAACTTATTAGACTACAAAATGGCAATTCATCTTGCGCGGGCTATGTTTTCTCAAGCGGGAGCTTCATTCACGCTTTGGTAAGAATATCGGGATCTCTTCTAGCTCGAATTCGCAATTCGCCCCAGCTGCATTTTTTTCCGCTCACATACACTGGGAGGTTCACGTGTAGATCTCCATGTCACTACTGTTTTACGCAGTTCCGTGAGATTCGTTAGACTGTTAGAGTATGTGAATGGACCGGCGTGACCTTTTGTAAGCCTGACCTTTTCTTCCTTTTTCCGCGCTGTCCATGTGTTTGGCACAAACAAAATGTCAACTGTTGGTAGGGTCGAATCGAAGTACCCCGCCATGCACATGGTATCAGTTCTTATGGATTCACGAAAACTGTCGCTTTCCCGCATTTCCCCAATTACCTAGTTTTTTTTAAATGTGCTTCGTGAATCTCGGTATAACTGAGCGCTGATTTGTGACATTTGTCTTCATTAGTAGGAACTATCCGAATATTTTACAGTATATTTTACATTCAGATATGGTACTGGAACAAGCGGGTAACTATAAAGACAAATCTTGACCAAAACCCGGGCTCACAGGATATTTAACGCAAAATTTCAGGAATGACGAATACTTTTCCTTTGAACTGATCCTCGTTACTGCATTTCTTTAACAGTACCATAATGTATCATATAAAATTCTTGAAACATGCGGAAATATCGGCCGTATGTTCCGTATGTGTGTATGTATGCAAGTACGTACGGTAAATCTTGCATTCTATCATTCTATATTTCTTCCACGCATTATCATCAGGCTGGTATCATTTTTCTAGACAAAACAACCCGAATCAAATTTCTCAATATTTCCTTGTGGTTCTTTTCTGAATATTTAAATTTCAACTGTACAACAGCTTCTACGGGCTGGCAACTGTTATTAAAGTAAACGCTTTGTTGAAGAATTGATTTTGAGCAATCTTTCTTTATTGTATGAGGGTATCTTTTTTGGATTGTATGCGCTCGTCTGCAACACTGCGTATTTTAAGGACCTATATATGTATATCAGTAGCGACCTAGATAATCCCTGTACTTGCTGCCGTCACCCGGGCCGAGTGTGACGTTGCGGCAGTACATAAGGCTAAATCTGGCGCGGTACAAAAGCACCATGTACAGCCACAACGTCATACTCCAGCCGGGTGACGGCAGCAAGTACAGGGATTATCTAGGTGCGCTACTGACATCTCCTCGTACATAGTTCATGTACACACTGGCATGCAAACATCGCTGGTTTGCTCTTTAATCGGCATCTGCCATTACACATAACAATACGCCTGCGCGGGTTTACACTAATAAAAGTTCCGAATTTTAAACATTGAAAAAACATCCAAAATCATTAGCGTCTTTCGTGAATTTAGTACGTGCGTTAAATGTACCCAAAACAGCCGCTGCATTCCCTCTGACTACAGCTAAACTTAAACGTTGTCTCAAAAAGGCTGTAGATCGAGGCTCTCCGGTAATGACACGAATCTTGCGGCCGACGAAACGGATTAGCTCCGAGAAAGCCAATCCAAATGTCCCAAGTGTCTCGACGGCCAGAGCGTAGAAAAGATATCCCAAATCCTCGACGAAGGCGTATTTCCGGCGCTTGTAGTCTTCTGCCATCTGCGCTACACTTCCGGCTTTCAAAGAACTAGCGTGCACGTGAGAGACGGCTACAGTGTCCCAGCACGTTGCATCCCACACAACCGCCTTCCCATCGCGTACAGGAATCAAAGTCATACCATCGGGACGTTTGTTTTCTTTATCTGACAGGCCCGACGGTTCGGACTGATTTTAAATTTAAAAGTTCGCTGGTTTTAAATAGCAAGAACAACCACCGTAAGTACCACTGTGTAACAAAAGCAACACCGCCTCCTGGAGTAGTCGAGACCGAAAGCCGGCAGGTGCATGCTATCGCGCTAAAAAACAATAAAATTTGTCTCCTATTACCTACCGCATTGCCGGCCAATACCGTAGTAAGCTCTGAGCCCGGTACGCTTGCAAGAGCAGCACCTGTCACTGGGTAAGCACAGCGATATCGCACAGCCAGTCATCAGGAGCTTTCTGATTGCCATCATCCAAGACAAATACCCTACGACTATGCATATATGTACGGTACATGAGAATTTTGCCCACTACCTTATGCTCGCGGTCGGTTCTCCCGTTACTTCCGTGAAGCTGACCGCTGACCACGTTCAGTACACCGCACTGATCACACTCCGTCCCGAACAGCAACGATATGAGATCCACATCATCCCTTCCTGTCTCGCTGTTCTAGGACGTGCGCGTCTGTCCTTATAGCGAAAATGCGGTCGCACGATAATTCCACGGGATTCGGTATATCCTCTCCTATATATGCCCTGTACAAGTAGAAGCCGGGTTTCGTGAGAATCCAGTATTTTCTGTTTAGGTTCAGTACAACCGCACGACTGGCTGGTAGCATCTGGCCTCTTGGTCAATATAATCGGCGCTGTACTGCCTCATTTGTGAAATAGAGCGTGGTGCGGCTGTTGTCTCCGTGTGTTGCATCGCCAACGGGAACAGCCGACTCTACAGGAAGATGTCCCTTAAAATACTGCAATGACTGCACTAGGTGGACGGCAGTGTACGTTGCCGCTGTAATTTGCTCCATAATCACATATGCGGACAACAGTCGAACGGACAACGCGATGCTCCGATAATGACCACAAATGGTTCTGATCCACAACGTTATCGTTAGGGCGGTATAATTATGTCCACGACTTGAGGACATGCAGTGCACTGCCGTCTACGGAAATATCCGGCTAAGTTCGTCTACGATTTATAGCATTATGTTATTTCAGTTGTGCCGGCAGACAAGACTGGCAACAGCATCTGCATGCATATGCTTGCCGCAGACACGGTTGCAGGGTAGTAGGTAAGTACAATAACAACAAAAATGAAACCGAGTTAAAGCAGAATGGTAGTTCATAAACAAAGTTAAAAAATCAGCAAGTGGTTTAAAATTGTTTGAAATTAAATTTTAAATTCGAGAAATATGTCATGCAGTCTTCAAGATTGAGCAATTTACAGAATGTGTGACCTACCCGCTAACGGATTTTGCTACATCGTCAGGACGACGACGTCAATAAAATTAATCTGAAGTCAAATAACGGCGTTTTACAATTGAAAATAAAGTTTTTCGTTTAAAATAATTGGCTATCCAGCTGTCTTGCCGAAGAACTGTCTGAATGCGATGTGTCGGTGTTACCGGATGTCTCCCGGTGTTGCCGGATGCATGGTGACTAGCAACGAGTTGTCTAGGAACTAAATATCCGCGCGACCAAATGTGGCCGACCAAGTGTCCCGCAACGAGGTTTTATGCGACGACTTGGTCGGACACGGCGTTTTCCATGCAAAACTTCCGAAATACGGCCCGATAAATGTAATTACAGCATGTATACATATTCATTCAGTAAACTACATATTTTGGCCCTCTCAAACACCACGACATAAAATCGTTTCATGGTGTCTACATTAATTGTTGGAGACCGTTTGTGCGGTGTTTATGGGTTTAACGAATTAAAACTAACAGACAACTTAAACGGAGAAAGAAGCACTGGAACACTTCTGCACTGATACCAAAAGCCATTTTATTATTCAACTACAGTAACTGTACAGTACAAAACATACATCGCATATTATTTGCGAGGATCGACGAAACGCAACCAAAATCAGAGTTAACGTTCTTGAAAGTACATATTACAACTTTCTAAAATGTCCCAAATGGGACCTGGTTTTGCTTGGTATTCTTGGACTGAACGTATTTTATACAGCAGCCAATCATCTTGTGTACAAATCATTTATCTGTAAGTTCGAACACCATAAAACCCTACGCAGATATATTTATTGGTTCCGTTTACATCAGACTGATGACGTAATCATTTAATAATGCGCGGTCATCGCTGCTTAAAACCTCAGTTGCCCATGGGTTCATGGCATCCCTTATTCACCGGCAAAAGTAAGTACTTCCGCGCTAGGCCTTCTCCTTGACCACCAACACGGTGGACTGCACGATCCATTCATGGAGGTGTCTATGCGGCCGGAACCAGCACTCCACCGGACCGGAGGCTATCAGCCGGGCACTCGATGAAATCAACTCAAATTCAAGGCCCTCGTCCTGCAGCGGGATCAGCTCCGAACCGCTGGCCACCGTCCCCACCCACCCCGACGGCAGATGCGACGTGTAGGGTTCCTCGCGGGGCACATTGATAAGATGACCTTTATGTCGCCACATGTGATGATGGCGCACATTCTGCACGTCCGGCGCCAGGGGCAACCGCACCGCGCAGCTGATATTGTAGCTGTCCCCGACAGTCACCCGGTACTGCGGCGCCAAGGGGGCCGCGAAGACCTCGGCAGCCCGGGTGACGAGCGGGATTAAGGTGTAGCGGTGCAGAACGGTTCTCCTCGTCGCCTCCTGCAAGTGGCAGACGACCTCGCCGGTGGATGGCAGGGACACGTTAAGGATGCGCAGCACCACGATACTGTCGTCAAACTGCAGAAAGTCGTAGCGACGATTAGACATCGGTACCGGTTGGCCTTGCTCGAACACAGTGCGGCCTTGGTGGGTCCAGCTGATGGCGACGGAAGGTACGCCTAGAGGCCCTTGACAGCTGAACGACACGTTCTGCCCCAAACGCGGCCGCATCAACCTGCCAGCGGCCGCCGGTGTCGTCGTGGCCCTTGGAACTGGAAACTGCAGTGTCACCTTGTCATCTTCCTTTTTTCTCAGTGCTCGCTCAACTATTTCATCCACTACAAAATACATCATTCGATATAGGATATATAAAAACTATTTTCATTATTAGTCAGATATATGCGTTATATATGCATGACCTTTGCGAAGAACAACGTGGCATGCGATGTCATTGTTGTTGTTTACTGACAGGCTGACAGCTGTCAGTCAGTTGCGCTCGTTTATAAATAAACATCATATTTTACTTAGTCTGTAACATCACTGAAATTTTTTAACTGCATTTTCAGTAGTGAGGCCGCGCAACCATATTTTAAACCCATTCTAGCGTTATTAACGACGGGAATCGTTAGAATACAGCGCTCCAACGCTTTGTTGAGTAAATTAGTTGCAAAAGATGACATACATATTTGATAATTTATTATCAGTTAAAACGAACAATTTCAGTTACTCAGAGAAATTCAAATTTTTGGGTCCATAAAGCGAAGGAAACACGTCAAAATAGAAAGCTACTTTCTAATTGTTCGTACCACCGATAAGAAAATTCAAGCCAATCAAATCACTGATGATCTTTATCAGCCCCATACGAAAGGCGCGAAATTAAGCGCAAGGCTGGCTTAACTCTACTAAAAAAGCCTGAGAAACAGTGGGCACTTTTCCGGTTACTTACGTGATAGGTCAGAGCGGAAATCTCCGTTCATCTGCACGGTACATGCGCTGCATTGAGCGTGCCGCTGCCACTGACACCAGCCGCCGAATGCCAGACTGTAAACAGCCACAAACAACCGCGCAAGTGGCATCGGATTGGGTCGGATTAACCAGGATTAATCGCATTTTGTGGATAATAATATCCTCAACACCGGCGTCAGCCTGCCGGGTTGTTGTCCCGACGCTTCAGACGACCATCCGACTTCACGCCTACTGGCATGCTGCGATAACAAGGATAATTGTGTTGTGGTTTATGCAAATACAGGGTACCCTGTGCAACCAGCACACAATCCTGAGTGTGGTAAAATGAGCAACAGCGATCTTCTACTGCATATTAAAGGTTTCATTAGAAATTCAGAATTAGGTTGCTTATTTAATCATACAGTATTCGCAGGGATCAGCTGCGGAATTCGGGACCTCCCGTCAGTCCCGTTTTACATGAACAGGGACTACAATTACTTATGGAAGGAGCTGCGCGCAAGTCTTAAGCGGTGATCTGCTTTTCGGTTGCTAAGCATCGGTTCCCACATTCCGTTCCGATTGTTTGGCGCCATGACATTTGGGCCACCCGACACTTGGGCCACCTGACATTTGGGCCACCTGCCACTTGGGCCACCAATACTTTCAAAAACATGAAAACGTAATAAAGGATTTCCGATACGAATGATAGCTTCTTTATTCTTACTGCACGTAAAAAATTAAATATTGGCTTATTAATAAAAGTTCTGCAACTTGCAGCATTAACAACGTACGAGTAAGTACACAAGATTCGAAAACGAGCGTGCATTAATATTATGGAGTGTTTGTAGGCATATAAGCGGATACACAGGGGCTGCATGGGTTCGATCATTGCACTATGTACCAGCATAAGTAAATCGAACTCATGCACTGACGATGTGAGCAGTTGCCGGTAAATTTACTCCGCATCCTTCTGCTTATCAAACATCTTCCTGATCAGATTTCTATTTGATTAAAATTTCAATTAATACATGGCGCTAAAAATCTAAGAAACCTAAGAAAACTGAGAAACATAAAAAATACAGGGAAAAAAAGAGTTACAAGAGACCGTAATGTGCGGTGGCCCAAGTGTCAGGTGGCCCAAATGTCAGGTGGCCTAAATGTCAGGTGGCCCAAGTGGCAGGACACCGTTCAAAAAACAGAGAGAACAGATTTATTTACAAAAATTATAAAGTTTTAGTATAATACAGAGAAGCCGGTTTGTTTCATCCTCATGGGACTACACGTTACTACGGTACCTATTTGTACTGGTACAAGATTACTGTGTTGAAGGTTGAAGCGTGTAACCATCACGGGGTGGAGGTTTAGTGTGGAGCGTTGTAGTATACACATGCTTCTATGAGTTGCGGTTCTTGGGCGTGGAGTGCATTCACAGCATATTCCACAATATACAGAACGCTAAGTTAGACTTATCGTAAGCTCGACGTTGTAAATGAGAGCGTGAAATTACTGCCTGATTAACTTAATTACCTTTAATACATCAGTAAAGCTAGCCACCGCCGTCTTGAATGACTATCTAATTAGCTCAAATATTGCCTAATTATTAATTATTGCGGGAAATTACTGCCTAATTAGTAATTAATGCCGTTTCGAAGTCATTAAATTATTAATGGTAGCATACGCGTTACTCTGCGTTCGTAATTATGTTAAATCTAAATTTGTTATTACATAGCGTCGATAGCAATTAGCACGGTATTAACGGGGCAGTGCAGTCCATTGCACTCACCGTCTACAGCGTGTAACACGCGCAATGCATGGATAAGTCAACGATGCCCAACGGAAAATCTAGTCGACACTAGATTTACCGTTGGGCAATGTTGCCTTAAAGTGGGCATGTGTTGACTGTTGCAACAAACCAATGCACAACGCTTGCGTTATCTCGGAATGACACATAGGAGCATGACGCACAGTCCGTTGGGCTGCTTTATCATAAGGTAGTCAGAACTGAAAGTACCTACTAGTAATCGTTATCGATTCCACATGCAAATATTGCGGAACGTACCATGACACAACCCACAGGTGACAAGCGTTTCGGAAGAGTTCAGGATTTGAGTTATTCTTACACTTACATTCTTCCGCAATGTAGAGACACCCCAGAACAGTCATTTCAGTTCGTTTACTTTGCTATTCCGCCACGCTGCGCATTGCTCGCTTCGTTTGTGGAAATCTCATGTGTTAATCGTGTTGTTAATCAACCGGTGCGCTCCTGTCTCGACACTGCGAAACGGCGAAACGTGCCTGTCAAATGCGCTGCTGAACCAGCTGGGGCACACAATATTTGGCGCGGCAGCCTTCTATCATGCAGAATAATTTGGAGTGCAACACTATCTCATCAGTCGGGTTATATGACCGAGGTCGAGTGTAATTATTCAATCCCATGAGACAGAAATGCCTCCATAAATCTGGATGCATCTCTATCTCGTGATCGAATGAGTATCACTGCGTCTCTATATAGTATACTCGTAATGCAATCAGTTTTCCAGCAGTTGTCATCCTGTGGATCCGGAACCACGCGGAGAACTTCGTGACCTCTAGTGTCCGGTAAGCGAATTTACTATCTATAACGTGAGTATGTTCGGGATGCAAAAACAAGCCAAAGTATGTAAACGGACAACAATCGACGGGACAAAACGATGCTCCAATATTGGCGCCCCAAAAACGGTTCTGGTGGAAAATGTTATTGTTAGGGCGGTATATATGTCCAAACCTTGTGGACAAAAAAGTGGGCTGACGTTAACGGTAATATTAATCTATAGAAATATTAATTAATTGGTAGAAGCCCGTTATTACGAGTATGTTACTAGTAACAATTAACAACTGTATGACGCCATTTTCGGCAGCGCTGACCGATTCGGCACACTGCAGGAAATGGTGTCTTGCCGTGGCCCGTGAGGCGCGGAATTCGGGGCCTATGAAGCGCCGGCTGAACAGAACGCCTGATTCAGTAGAAACATCCGTACAGATACTGATAGCTGCCTGCATGCTGTCCTTGTATTCTTTAGGGAATATATTGCGAATTGTTTGGCAATATTAATTTTATCTGCCGCCGTATGAATGTATCCGGTAAATGAATTTTATTGTTCATGCTGGTGAAAATTATTCTCGTTTTGTTCCACACCCAGAAATCTTTGGTATCCTCGTACCAAACGCTTCCTCAATATGGGAAGAATGCTACATTACCAAGGATTCCTGCCCCAGAGGACAGCAAGCAGAAACCTCGGGATGTGTGATATCGCATTACCGCGGCGCCTGCTTACAGGTACACGGATGCTGCACCTGCCAGCACTTTGAGCTCCTAAATTGCGCTCATGGCTTAGGCCAGTGCAAGCTAGGGCAAAGACCTCATACGGTGCATGTACCAGGAAGCTTTCCAGTTCAATATGGTCCAATTCTCTCCTTACTTCCACGAAGTTTAATGCATATTCAATGCACTACACACATCACTGCGCTGCACCCGCGATAACAGCTGTTTTTCATCAAGCATCCCTTAGTTCCCGTGAAGTTACTCCGTGCAACGAAAACACGATACCACGACCACGGGAGCCAGCTTGCATCCTCATATGTTTGTACAACGTTAACTCTACTTCGATGGAATATGATCCGACTTATCTGTCAGATGCAACTGCACTGTCGCTTTCCCATTACTTTCATCCCACAGTCCCACACCGCTCGTCAGTCGATGTTTTATACAAAATCTTACGTAGAAATACTCGTATTTGCGGAATCCATCATGAGACAAACGCAGGTGGAGGTCGTAGTGCATATAAGAAGCGTTTCGGGAATTAACGCTCTCTAGTCTGTACCAGTGCGGGTTTATCGTTGGAACTTTGCATTGTACTTGTAAATCTCGCCCTGAAGACATAACGCCCAACAGTAGCCCCAAAACGCACGGAATGTTAATTGTGATCAGCGGTATAATTCTTAAACGCTGTAAATGCCCTCTCAGTATGCCAACTCAGCCCCACTGCTACCGATGTGGTCCGCACAGATACCGTACATTACCTTGCGAAATGAGGCAGTGCTGCCGCATCTGTTGTGCCTTCAACGCACAATCCGTGGTGACCTTGGGTTATATGTACTGTACATATACCAAAGGTCAGTGCCTCTGATTGTGCATAATGTACATTGCCGCTGCGATATTCATCATTACCAGTACGTAGTAGCAGTATTTTGTCACATACCACAGATCAGCATCATCGACCTATCCAATGCGCTCGATCCAGCAGCCGAGTGTGTTGATGATTTTCATTGATCCGGCAGGAACCGCGCGGACAGAGATATGCGCGGATGTTTTAGCTGCCTCGGTTGGAGATTCGAAATCCCTCTCGTCAGACGCCGAAGCTCGTGCTTACGTGGGAAAAACGCCGATTTACTTAGACCAGCCAATCGTACAATACCAGGAGCTGCGTAATAGTGACCTTTACGGCTTTCTACCTCCAAAATACGAAATAGCCTGGCACATGGTACTGTATCTGAGTGTATCGTTTTCGCACTCGTAATACGAGTACATCCAGTGAAATATATAATTATGTTGACACAGCAGCCGGTTTGACGATTGTTCTGGTGGGTTGGGTAATCCAACCTTACCACGCACGATCGGCAGTGTACAAATAGTAGATCCGTACTGTACGAATAACATAAAACGGTATACACGAATATTCAGGGGCTCCGCTACCACTACACTTTTTTGATTATTTAACAATGCGCTGTAGCTTAAAATCTCAACTTCCCATGGGGTCATGGCATCCCTTATTCACTGGCAAAAGCAATTCCGCGCTAGGCCTTCTCCTCGACACGCAGCACCGTCGATTGCACGACCCATTCGTGGAGCTGTCTATGCGGCCGGAACCAGCACTCCACCGGGCCGGCGGCGTCCAGCCCAGCACTCGATGAAATCAGATTAAACACAAAGCCCTCGTCTGGCGGGATCACCCCAGGGCCACTGGCCACCGTTCCCCCCCACCCCGGCGGCAGATGCGACGTGTAGGGTTCCTCACGGGGCACGTTAGTCAGCTGGCGGTTGTGTCGGAACATGTGATGATGGCGCACATTCTGCACGTCCGGCGCCAGGGGCAACCGCACCGCGCAGCTGATATTGTAGCTGTCCCCGACGGTCACCCGGTACTGCGGCGCCAAGGGGGCCGCGAAGACCTCGGCAGCTCGGGTGACGAGCGGGATCAAGGTGTAGCGGTGCAGAATGGTTCTCCTCGTCGCCTCCTGCAAGTGGCAGACGACCTCGCCGGTGGACTGCAGGGACACGTTGAGGATGCGCAACACTACGATACTGTCGTCCAACTGCAGAAAATCGTAGCGATGATTAGACACCGGGACCGGGTGGCCCTGCTCGAACACGGTGCGGCCTTGGTGGGTCCAGCTGATGCCGGCAGAAGGTACGCCCGGTGGCACTTGACAGCTGAACGACACGTTCTGCCCCAGACGCGGCCGCATGAGTCATCCAGCGACCGCCGGTGTCGTAACGACCCGTGGAAACTGCAGTGTCACCTTGTCATCTTCCTTATTCTCCAACGCCCGCTCGACTATGTCATCAACTACAAATACAGCGTTAAATATAGATATAAGGATACAGAAATCATAGTTTTCAGTACTTCCAGGTTTTTGGATACTTTCACCATATGAATACGCGCACCGGACACCAGAGGCACGGACTCTGCGTTTTCCCCACTAAAAAAACTTGAAAATGTTTTATTAACCTCGTGTAAAAGCTTGTATAACAGCATACGGTATATAAGTTATCACGCAATCAATTTCTGATACGTTTTTGTCACGTGGAGCAACGCAGAGAAGACTGTCGTTTTGGTGTCCGGGTGAAATCATTGTGAAAATGAACGCAGCCAATTATTTGTCAGATATGTCATATATCCAATATAAATGCATGACCTTTGAGCATAACAGTATTGCATACTGTGTGTGTTGTATGTTATTCGATAAGAAAACTTTAAATCAATTAAAGCCGTATTGATCTTTATGAGTTTAGCAAGAAAGCCGCGCGCCGTAACTTCTACGAGTGCGAAAGCCCGCGAATCAGCGGGCAATTTTTCCGGTTACTTACGTGATAGATCAGAGCGAAAATCCCCGCTCAACTGAACAGTGCATGCGTTGCCCTGAGAATCCCGCTGCCATTGGCACAAGTCGCAGAATAGCAGGCTGTAAATGGTCAACAATCGCATAAGTTGCATAGGACTGGGTCGGCCTAACCAGGGTTGATAGCATTTTGCGGGTAATAATTTCCTAAACACCGGCGGTAACCGGTCGAGTATATGTCCGGCGCCTCCGAGTTCAGATGACCCTTCTACTCTGTACTGAAGAATTCCACGACGGCTGCCACGCTCCGAAAATGAAAATAATTTTGCAGTTTTATGGTTTTAGCAGATGCGATGTAGAACCACAGAATTCGTTGGGTGTGGTAAAATGAGCAACGGCGATCCGTTACTGCTTTTTCATGTGCTGCATAAGGAAATCCAGAAATATGATGCGTATGAAGTTTTAGTCATAGGGTATATGACAGCATTCGCCGGACGGCGCTACCAATTTCGGGACTTTCCGTATACTTAACATGTTGTTGTTGTTGTTGTTGTTTGCATAAATACACAGCGTAGTCAGAAGGACCATGGCTCCACGAATCGTCAAGGTAACACAATAAGCATGAGACAGGAACAATTAGTCGATTATCGTTAATAACATCATGGAAATCGCGCTTAGAAACTCCTTGAAGCATTAGAAAGCAGCGGTCAACAGTACTTCCGGTTAAGGATATCCAGGTTCTTCAACCCGGCATGTTCCAGGCATTTTTGTACAGATAAGACAGTAAACGACGGATGCTTAATATGGAACAATGATAGGAAAAAATGGGTAATTACAGTTAGTGAGTCATTTATGGAAGCGGCTGCGCACAGTACTTATAGCGTACGGTTTGTGGTTAATCTTTTTGAAGGCGTCTAATCATTGGGAGAATATAAAACACCCTTAGTCCCTCAGGATTTGTGGGATTTCTTCGCCGCAGATCGTTATCGACACAATTAGCGAAAGTGCCATGTTCCATGGAACGCAGTGACGCTGGACACTTTCTGCGGATCATGCCGCTAATAGTGGTTCGTTCACTTGATGGCGTAGGGTTGTACTGTTTCCCTAACAAACCGATATGCGACAGAAACACCTGCAGCTGCAGAATTTCCTACTGACGTTGACGTAACCTGTAACGAAAACCGTCACTGCGACAACAGCGAGGGCACCTTTTCCATGCTGTTATCAAGGGTCTCACCCACTACTTCGTACCAGTTCCAGTTTCCTTTGCTTCCACTGAAAACGCTTGCTTTTTGCGTATTTCCCTGCAAGACCCTACGTTTTCGAATACTTTTTGTTAATCTGCAGCTAAAATTTAATTCGACTGTAATCCATTAGCCGGCAAACCGTTCGTGCGCGATATTTCCGGTTGGTGAGATTTCGCAATACGAAAACTGACGAAACAAGCTTCGAGCACCAAAGGCAAGTTTATTCAACGCAAATTGTAAAATTGTAAATCAGCATCCTCAATGAATGGTTGCACTATGTAGTTTTGCTTCTTTCCAGCTGCTTTTCTACGTTTATGTCTTTCACATCAGCAATGTACTGCACGAAAACAACTCGGCGGCGTTACTGATTTCTTGGCTATTCTGTTTGTCCAGGACTAATGCAGCAAAAACTTTCCACAATCATATTAATCTGTCCAGGTCCAGCGACTTGTTTACGACATACAGAAGGCAACAATTTTGCACTTCGTCACCTTGCGGAACCGGTGCGATTGTCGTAGTACAGTGCCATCACGTAAAGCCAAGCCCGCTATACAGTGAAACCTCTGAAATACGTACACCTCCGTACGGAAAATTTCGTACGTAATTCAGGGGTGTACGGAATTCAAATTAGCTACCCCCAGCCCCCCTGGGGGGTGACTGTAGACTAGGGGCACTGCCCCACTACGAAATGCTCTGCACATACTGTGCAATGCATAAAATACATGGATTTCATTAGTTAACATACAAAATTGCATCAATCAATGTGTATGTAAACAGAGAAAAACAATTCTCTCGCACACGTTCAGCAGAAAAGATTAATAAAACCTTACTCAGGATATAAAAATCTAGCAATTTCGAGTGTATCTTTCTTTGTTGCTTTAGATTTTCACAACTTTACCATCAAAAGGTTTAAAATCTCCAGTTCCGAAACAACGGTGTACGCATTCACGAGGTGACTGCGTACAGTTAAATGCTTATGCGGTACAGAGATTAAGTGTACGTGTACGCAACGCTGAGGTGTACGTTACGTAGAGGTTCCCCCTGTACTTTAGTCTACGACGTAATTCGGTACAGAAGTTTTCGTACGTAATAGAGGGGTGTACGTTTCTTCGGGGTGTACGTACGATGAGGTTTCACTGTATTCCGCCGAAGGCAATCGTCTGACGGTTGCAGTAACGACCAGGACAACGTAAAAAACAGACGAAAATGCTTTTTATAACAATAACATAATTAGTTGGATTTAAATATCTAGGATATTTTTTTTAATATTTCCCTTGATGTAAATGTCGCATTATGTATTTCCACTGATTCATTTGCCATCGCACTACGATGCTGCCTATGTTCTGTCACTTTGTTTCAGCGTTTTCGTGCAAAGCGGGATAAACACAACATATACACACGTCTGTAACCTCCGCAAAAAGAACGCTTTAAGTGCAACTTTAATTACTTTTAATACATCATAATTATTTTCGGGCAGCAGTGCATCACGGCGGGTTGCGTAGAAACCAACCCGGCCAAAAAATACTGTGCAAATAATAAAACAAAATACAGCAAAATTAAAACCGCCATAGAAATTCCAACACCAGCAGCAAACAGATCCTCTGTAAAAAACAAGCAGAAAACACAGGCGCACAGCCATCCGGCTGTCCAAAAAACGCCCACATTTCCTCCAAAAATCAGAAAAAAATTTTGCGAATTATTCCGCGTCTGACAATCTCTCTCTTCTTTGCAGCAAATCATTCGGTGAGCAATACATACCAAACCAGAAAACCGACGCAAAAAAACTATGTACCATACCCGCGGCAAGAGACCGAGAGTGACAAGAAAACAAACTTAAAAGCTCCAAAAATGTGAAAAATTATTTACTGAAAAAAAGAAGCAGCAAATCTGTCTGTGTTCACCTTTGGCAAAATGGGGGGCAGAATACCGCTTCCTGTGCCGCATCACACTGCAAGAACGGATCGCGCTCTGTAACGGAGACAGCCGAGACATCCGTCCGCATTATCAAATAATTTTGGCATTTTTTAAAACTGCATCGGCACATCTTCCACGTAGTTCTCCGGGATCAGACCCTTCCGACCTGTCAAATGCAATGCTGACAGATATGTGCAATAAATACACTCATTAAAACGTTTTCCTATTAAAATATATGTCCCATTAAAATATTTAAAAAAATGATAGTTATAATATTTATGATTTTTAAGCAGTTTACAGCGATGAAGTGTATGCTAAGCGTCCACATGGGGTGGATGTTTGTAGCCTTTAAACTACACTTGACTCTCTGCTGTCCAACTGTGACAGCAGCTGGCATTTATGGCGCATGTCTTAAAAATCTCAAAAAACACTGAACCGAAAACTAAAACAACGAAAACTAAAACACAGCAGCGCATCTCTGGTTTTCCCATCTCGTTTACACACTTTCCTGACATACTATTTAATTCTGTAATTGATCACATGTTCCATGGCCTCTGTTTTCGCTCGTATTTATACTGTTTTCATACCAACCAAAGCGACCATGAATAGCCGAATCGGCCGGACAATCTGTGCTGCATTTCTAATAACCTGCTTCTTCTGATTTCTTCGTACCTCGTAACTCTCCATACAGCCATCCCGGCTCATCGGACGCATGGACTGCAAACACATCAAAAATACTACTGAAACTTCCGGGTGCCAATAGATACTGGAGAGAACGGTAAACACTGGCTGCGCTTGGGTTTACCTTTGGTAATGATTTCGTTGGGCTCGAAGGACAGCTCCGAGTGGCCATCGGCATGGCACTGGTACAGGGTGCGCACATTCCGCCCCGGTTTGTTGCCGTTCCTCCCGGGGACATTACCGCTACGCAGACCCACCGCGGCCGCGCCTCTGTCAACAAAAAACACATTTTTCACTCAAATTTACGTTGACACGCAGCCCTGCGCTTAACGCTTTTACGAACGAACAAAAAATCTTTCTACAAAATTTTTTACTTAATTCCAGATAATTATTAGCGATTTTTTTATGTTATTCTGATTTCTGTTTTTCAACAGCATCTGTCATCAAATTAGACACAATTTTCGAAAGTAACTGTATTTATTCCGTTGTAGATGTACTCGTAAGATCGGGACTGACCTTTGCGGAGCCTTCTGCGGCGGCGTCTTCTCGATGCGCGGCTTCTCGTCGCCCGGCGGCGGCACCTGGAAGGTGGAGATCCGTTTGGAGACCAGGGGGGCGGGGGTGCGGTCGCGGGGGCCCCGTTCGCGGTGCTCCACCGGCCCGACGGAGGCGGCCGGCCCGCCCCCGTCCACCACGGTCACACCGGCCACCGAGGGACTGCCGCCGTTGAAATTCACCCGGGGGAAGGCCGCCACGGCAGCGGGTGCCGCCGGACGACGGTCGCGGATGACGCCGGAGCCGAAACGGTCGTTCATGCCTGTGTGCAGCAGAAGGCATTCACCTACTTGTCATTTTTACGATTTTAGTACCGGACAGCGTCCGTTTCAGTTGCATTCCGCCCACGAGCAAGAAAAGTTGTTCATGTAAAACGATTGCCCTTTAAATAGTCGCCATCACTGCACAAAAAGGACGGAAACCGAAAAACAATAATCATACCTTCTTTGAAATTGAAAGGAAATATATTTTAACAGATGTATCAAAATAATATGTTTCAATCAGCAAAAATACTGAAATCAAGCGTCTGAACTAAACTACAGCAAAGAAAATTAAACCCGTCGTGCTACATGCCATTACACTACGAAGTATTCCGTAATAGAAACAGTGACAACGTAATAGCAAGCAATGCCATCACCAGAGCACGACGAATCGAACAAATAAAACACAAAGAAAAGTTGAATAATCCACCGCTGTAAGTGAAAACGATCGTCCGCAGTATCAGATGTACATTATAAAATTGTCAATCAGAATAAAAACTTAAACTTGATACAAAAATTTAGCAGCAGCACTAACTATAATTGTCAACAAAACCATGACAGCCGTCTACTGACCCCGATATATGCCACTGCACTATGAAATATGCCAGTACTCCATAATAATCGAGATGCGCGAGTCGCACAACCAAGGACTGAATATCAACAAAGCGAATTAAAAATACGAACAAAAATCAAAACCAAAGGAAATTTACGGTGAATTAAACCTTCAAATTAATTACTTTGGCCATAATTAATGCGTCAATAGTTCTAACATCAGAAAGCACCATTCCAGTAGGGAATCATAATGCAAAAAAAAGATAAAAATCCACGATCAACCGCACAATCTAGGAAGTGATTATTACCGCTTTACTAATTATTTAACGAATTTAATGAATTAATTTACTGAATTCATTTAATTTAATGAATTTATTTAACTAGTAAACTTTTTTATTTTTTTTATTTATTTAATTTATTTAACTAGTTTCTCAGTCTACTAGTCTTTATTTTTATTTATTTATTTAACTAGTCTTCTCTAACTATTTAATGAATGCTATTTTACTAATTATTCAAAAAAATTTAATAAATCAATTTACTGAATTCAGTTAATTTAACGAATTAATGTTATTAACTGCCTCACCTCCGGCGTTGAGATCGCGGGCGCTGGCCACCGGCGTGACGGTGTGACTGCCGGGCGCGGAGCTGTTCAGCGCGCTGAAGCTGACGCTGGTGGAGGCCAGGGGCGAGGCCAGCGGACAGTGGTACAGCGCCGAGGTGCTGGAGGTGCGCAGGCCCGCCCCGGGGTACGGCGGGGCGGTGGTCAGGCGGGCGACGGTCTGCGTGACACGCAGCCCGGGGGAGACCGGTCCGCCGGGTCCCGGGAGGCTCTCCGTCTTCAGATCCATGGGGATGGAGTAGTAGACGCTGTTGCTGTTATTGTTGTTGGACGACGGCGCGCCGTTCAGGCTCTTCTCGGGGCCCTTGAGGCCCGGCTTAAAGGTCACCGGCGGGACGGTGGGCCCGGGGTCGGCGGGGGAGATGCGGCGGTGCAGGGTGACGGTGGGCGGGGGCTGCAGGAAGATCTGTACAAGAAGAGCATGGAGTGTTACACTGGCCGTCAGAATTATAGCAATAAACAGATAACTGGTAAGTATGTATGTTCCGTAAACTAAATAAATACATTTAAATAAAAATGTTTAGGTAACTGAATAAATAAAAAAATTAAACAAGTAGCAATGATTGTGTTAATTTGATAACTTGTGTACTGGTCTTCATATAAGTACGTACGTTTGTTAACGAATTTATGCTAAAAAGCAAATTACCACAACATGCTGCGAACATCAGTAAATCGGTAGTGCGTGAAAACGATGAAACCCAGGCCAAAAATCTACGAGAGGGCGGATACGATAACCATTGATCCGAAAAAATTATCAGCAAAAATTTACTTTAACCATTGAAACATTGCAGAGTTGCGGTATTACAGTTATTACAAATTTACATCCCAAGGAAACCAGCGAAATCAATGCGGCTTTTATCGACAGGCCATTGCACTACAAAATTTCCCCGCAACACAGTACCGCCTATATACGGGGAACTGCTCCGTGAAGAAATTTAAAAACATATAATACTATACAATAATTAGTAATAACAAATAACTAACAAAGTTCGTAAATAAAGCGATAAAAAAAAGGCTCGCCTTACGAAGTGATCAAGTATGCTAGATAATCTCGAGAAGGGAAAGATAGCCGAACGCCCGACCTGTTTCCAGTGCTCCACTAGGACCTCGATGACGATGTTGTAGAACTTGATGTCGACCAGCGCGGCGACACTCTCCTCTTCCGGCCGCAGCAGTGTCGGCCCGAAGCACACGCCCAGATTGGAGATGGTCATCAGGTTGCGGCTGCAGTTGTCCGCCACCCTACAACGAAAACGATCAATACGTATAAGTTACTAACATTTTCCGCAGCCGCGAAGGAAACTGTGAGCGAACTGTTAGCAAACTTAGTTAGCAATTATGTGTGCTTGCTTACTTGGCCAAATGCCGAACGATTAGCTCCAGCATGGTGTAGTTCTTCTCCGGCAGACTGCGGGCCAGTGAATGGATTTCGTTTAGCCGTTCGTTCTTGTTGTCTTTTTCTACAGCAAAGACAATCTACGTGCAATCGTAGTACGGTGGCTTTGGGGTTGTACTTCATTACATTGGCATATTAAAGTCAAATAAATAAAATCCAAAAAATCACTACGTATCCACAATGAAAATGCTTGCGCGTCTTTTTAAACAAAAAAGTTATAAGAAACCTCACGCTGTCCACTACTTAAATTTCAAAGAAAATCAGATAAAACAATTCCCAATAAAGTAACACCCAGTAACGCTTCCGAAACAATAACACATTTCGTAATTCCCGAACAGTATCGTTACAAGGGAGAAAACCAGCAAAATTCATGCTTTAAACAAATAAATTGTGAAAAATTAAGAAACACTTACTGGCAGCGGAGAGGAAGGCCTTATGCATACGAAAGGTCATCAGGGGTTCCGGCAGCGAGCTGCAGGGAAAATAAGTAAAAAAACCGAAAAACTAACAGTTCAACAGCGTTATAAGCATACCGGAAGTAGGTTTTTAACGCACTGGTCACCGTGCGAATATCCACATCGGGCTGGTCGATCAAATTGAAGGTGAAGTTCTGTGCGTGTGACGCTTCGTCTAATCAAGTAAATCATACCACATCCATCTCAAAATTCGACAACTGTCAAACTAATGCAGATTCAACACTGTCTTACCGAAAAACGCATGTAGCAGGCGCGAGACTTTGGAACTGACACCGGCGACACGGTACAATCCTTGCTCGTGTAATCCTACAAATAATAAATCCAAAATTAGCAAATTGAGCGTGCAGAGGAGCTGTTTCGGCAACCAACGGCGTGGATTACCTTTTTTCTCGATGAAATCAATGCACAGTGTAACAAACCGGAAGCCCTGCTCGTTGAGATCAGTGCTATCTGCAATCAAATAATATTCAATTATTCTTGTAAAATTCAAACGCTCGCTTTCTGTTTAAGCCAAAAACCACTCTCAATCACTCACATTCCGGCTTGTGGAAGTGCTTTCCGGGCATCTGATAAACCTGCAATTATCAGAACACAATGAAAAGCGCTCTAACAGCGACGATGCAAAACGCCAGTTCAAGTTGACTTAGGAAATCAATTTTCCTATTTTTACAGTAGCAAACTGCTGTAATTTTTGCTGTTTTCAAACGCACTGGTTCTTTCCCATCCATGATGTCCATCCAGCGACCGCGATCGGCTTCGGATAATGCTTGAAAGGTCATGACACCGGGTCTACAGAAAACAACCCAATTTCTGATTATTATCACCCTGATTTATTTTGCTGACGGGCTTTTAACGGAATTTCGATGCTACTTTAGGCAACTTTTAAATAACTCTGACAAAAAAGTAAAAAAATAACAAACAGACATCCATACTTCGTACCAGAATAATAAGAAAAAGAAAGGAAACCCTGAAATGCATAACAGTCCTGACAAATAAAATAACTCTAAATAACTCAAAATAATCGTTCATTTTTCCCAAAAATTTTAAATTCCGTATGAAGACGAGGGAAAGGGAAGCAATAAAAACTATACAAAAATCGTCATGAATTTTTACGCGATAAAATTGCAAACCGTTTTCAGTGGCAAGAATTTACCGTTCATCAGTGACGAGATCAAAGCAGAAACGTTTCTCAATCGATTCACCGGGACGTCTAAAAATAGTCGAAGCTTAATTATTAGATATACACATCAGCTCCTCTTCAGCACGATTCTCCCAGTATCCCGGTACTTTTTTACCTTTGGCACGACTTGAGCGTCAAGATTTCTTGTGGATTCTGCAAAGATAAATGATTATATAACGCAGTGGTTAAATGTTAATAAGCACTTGAGTACCGTTGCTTTGCCATGGGTGTGCGAATACGGCACCAACAGCAGCTTCCGCGAATCCTTATCGTACTGACAATAGTGCTTCACCCAGGTCGTCCCGAACGCTTCTATAAATCAAGAATCACGTAATAATTAATAACAAAGCGGGAAAATTTTGAATAAAAATCTGGAAAAGTATCCAGATGAAACTCGTAATTTTTTTACATCCAAATCTTCACCAACACAATAATTTTATTAAGTAATACGTGATAACGGTTGATATTATACAGAAACATAAAATACCAAAGCTAGCGCCAAAAATACCAGCACATGCAATATAACAAAATATTATAGACGATGATTATGAAATTTTAAATCGATTTTTATACGATGAGCATCGCATTCTTTGCATATGGTGAAAACTAGAAAAATGAGAGGTACCGGAATTACGCTAAACGAGAAAAATCATTAACTAAACAACGATTAAAAATATTTATATCAGTCATAAAAACCGCTATGACAAATTGCTCGTTATGTGGTTTTCTAAAATCGCTACGCACTTTTTTCCATAAGATAAACAAATCCTTCCGCTCGGTCAGCCGCTCGTGGAAGATTCCCAGCGTTTTCGTTCGTTTTCTAGAGAAAAACAAACACGGAATTGCCGGCCAGTTCATTTGTATTGTTGTCTATAAAATCCACTCACTATTTTGTTCATCAGCGCTTCCGTTTCCGCACAAAATGCATTGAAACTGTCGCGAGCCTAGCCGACAAAAAATATTATTCAGACAACTATTTTATTTGCTGTTTGCTTCAAAATAACCGACCTTCTGGACCCGCTCTTGCAAATCTTTCATGTAAGGATCAAATTCTTTGGTAATATCATAACCTACAAACCACAACAAGCCTCAAATAAGCAGAATAAAAATTCATATAAATTATTTAATTGGCGCGCTGACAATTATTAATGATAAGTAAATCAAAATTTGATTGAATGTGCGGTAGTTTCTACAACAGCGATGTTATACATTATTTTATAAAAGTTCAAATTAATAAAGCAGAAAAATGCCTGAACTGAAAACAATATCACCAAAGCAATATCACCAAAAACAATATCACCAAAGCAGGAAAAATACGAAAAATGAACATCATAATGGAGCAAAAATAAATAATAAATACTTACTTAATCGGAAAAAGCGCATCCAACTGGACAGGAAATTCCATAACTGCAGACACAACGGGACAATAAATTGTACACCAGCAGCAATATACTCCACGCGCATCGGCGTACCACTTCGACAAACTCGAACTTCTTCCGCTCGTGGACCTCTTGAATGGCTTTGACATAGCGCAGCGAGGCCTGAATGAAGTATCCCCGCTGCAGTATCACATCGTTATCCGCCTGCAATTTATTACTGCATTGTGTTAACCGTTCGGAAAAGCCACCGCGGAACGCACACCGCCGCAGCATAATCCATTGTCAGCGCACCGGTCGTGTGCTGTCAAGTGAATATTGCGAAATATTAAATTGTTCAATACGTTTTCGGACAGGGTCAACTCGCGTGCATACTTGCACATTACAGTACGGCTTTAAAGATACCCTGAAAAATTTTGAAAAGAAAATTGAAAACAAAAAACTGCGATGAAAAAATGAATTTAAAAAAAAAAGGTTTTCAATAAAAAAATGAATTTTTATCGTTAAAAAAGCCGTACCAGGTACCATTGCATTAACACGCAACACTGCCGATTGACAGTTTACAATTATTTATCGTTCCAGACCAAAACAATTTGTCAGCTGTATTCTTATCATTCAATCTATCCAGTTACATGCTGCAAATTACAAGCAAACTCGCCGTCAGATTGTGTTGTTGTAGCCATACAGTACAATACAGTTACTACGCAAATATGCTAAAATCGTAGTGTAATGGCAAACTTCCAGGTCACAATAAAGGTGTGATACTGTCATTCTTCATATAAATCAGCATAATAATATTGAATGCAAAATTTTTCTTGCGACTCCACATTTTCAAAACTTGATCCTCGCCGATTAATTTTTGTTAAGTGGTACATACTCTAATGACTAATCAAAATCATTTTGAAGTGCAGGAAGACCAAACCCGGGTCACTTACTTCCTTGAGAAGGCTCTCATCCTTTTTGCTGGACATGCTTAAATGCTTCTCCTGGGCTTGGTAGAATTTCGTCGACTCCTTATCGAATTTTTTCTTCTCAGCCTAAACATTTCATTAATTCAGCAGCGTTAACGACAAGGGGAATTTCGCATTTTTAACCATGCCAAAACAAGCATTCAGAAAAGAAAAACGACAGAAAATTCCTTATCGTAAAATCATACTTTGACATTGCCGATGTGGACTCTTCTGAAATCCTCCAGTGGACTGACAAACTGCTCCATGGCCTTATCCAGCTACAAAATATTCGTAATAAAAAAAACCCGATAATAAAAAACAACCATAAAGAGAATTTTTTTTTTGGAATATGAACCTACAATTTTTGTCCGTTCGTCTTCGATATCGGATAAAATCTTGCCGAACTCCTTGAAAGACTCCGCAATGGCCCTCTCGTCTTCCGTCTGACTTTGGCCGATATTCTCGAACTTGAAACCAGACAGATGGTGTGCCAGCGCTTTCTGGCATCGCGATAGTTCTGCAACGGAAAAAACGTCAATACTCCCGTCGCCACCGTTATCTCCAACAAGGAATTCATTATAACAACCAATAAGTCATCAGTATCAGCAATCTACAGGCATTGCTGGAAAACTCCACACAAAAACGTAGGCGGTGCAGCCTACTTTTTGCGGACCGTGCCAACGATAGAAATTATTTTCGACTATAATTTACATCGTCCTCCCTGACCTCCCAGTATTCGACGGAGAAAGATTACTGTATAGTGTAGACTTCATTCTTGTAACCCTGAGTCCAATAATAATTTCAATAAAAATAATAATAATTTTCTACGTCACGCGCCATTCAGTTGGAAACTTGGAACGCTTCAGCATTTCTGCCGTAATTACAGCAAAGCAAAGTCCAGTATCTAGCTGCACGAATCATAATACAATATTCGTACCATAGTTTACGAGCAATGTAGGAGTTCAATTAATTTTCTATTAATCGTAATCGATTTATAAAAAAAATCTGCTGCTATCATCAGGACTGAAGTAATGCGTTTTTCTATTTGTCAGAAATACCGAAAGAAACAAAACGCTTTCTATCAAAAACTGCCGGTCGTAGCAGACGAGAAACAACCTTCGGAACCTCCGCAATAACACAGTTAAAACTGCAAAGCTATTGCAGATGGCTTTTGCACACCATAAACGCATAAAACGCTTATCGTTAAAGAAATACGGCCGGCCAACAGACTGAATTACCGCACACAGGAAAATATTACGGCGTTAAATTTCAGAATGAAAACGATTAGTTGCCTGCTCAGCTATAAACAAACTCAAACGAACAGAATTTGCAAATACAAAGAAAAAAATTATTTCTGCAACTTTTTTTAAAATTCTACGACTATTTCCGAAATTCTATGAAAATTTAACCGAAAACTTTAGGCTTTAAGTAATACTAAATCTGCAGATTATGCAAACTGCTCTTCAAATAAATTTTCCCCAAATGTTTTTGAGAAAATTACTGAAAAAAAATTGGGATAAATGATAATACAAAATTCAATGTGTTAATTTCAGCTTCATGGTTCCGCAACTCTCAAAACACATCTCAAATCGTTAACAAGTATGCAGTGAAACCAATAAGCATCGGTAAACAAACATGAATAATAATGCAAAAACACTGCTGGGAAAATGTTTCGCCGTCGAGTGGCAAATGTATGAATAAGATGTTGTTACGCCATAAGACGGACCAGTAATGAGTCTATTTTTAAAATGCGTCTGAAAGTCTGAATTGGGCCAACGCGGGAAGCCCATGAGTAGTAAAGCAGAACGCGTCAGCAGAAAAAAAAGCAAAATATTTGCATTAAAAATCCGTCAGACGCATAAACAGCTACTCACGCTGGCTGGCGTTGATCACGTCACTGAACTCCTTGATGAGCTGCTTAATTTCCCGACTGGTCCGCTCCAGCTCCTTTTCATGCTCTTCCAGGTTCTGTTGTAGAAGAAACAAACAAAAATTATTACGCTAATGAATATTCTAATTACGTCTATCAAACCGGAGAAGCGTTCGAGAAGTCTCACATATATTAAAATAAATTACAATTTAAAGTCTTAAAAAATACAGTATGCATTTATATTCATGGGAAAATATATACAGGATAATAGCGTACATCGCATTTTAAAGTTACTTTCGATCTACGGCTTCTACGAGCCTTCCAGGGATGTTATAACGCAACATCCACCGCAAAGTTCGCAACAGAGACAAACTACTAACAACGAAGGGAAGCGTTTGTGATTATAATGCACTTTTAATTTCCGATGATTACTATCAAAACACTGTTTCCGACAAATTTGATTCTTTAACTGCAGGTAAAACAATAAAAAATGACCATGAGAGACAAGACCACAAATAATGTATTCCAAAAGAATCCGAACTGATTTCAGGGAATTAAAGTGATATTATAGGCTGTTCGAAATTATAACCATCAGTGCAGAGAAATAAGTAACGACGAAAAGAAAATTATAACCATCACCAAAATGATTACAATGATTAACCATCAATTACAGAATAACCACCAGCGACAAAATTCCTATTAAAATTTTATCCTGAATAGTCCATAACGGATTTATGAAAGAATCACATATCACACAGCAAAAATGTGTTTATAAGAAAAAAATAATATTACCCGCTTCAGATCATCCACAAACAGACGCTAGAAAATTCCAAATATTCAAAAAAAATCTCAACAAAGCTAAAAATATCCCAAAACCCTCTGCAAAAAATACTCAAAAATTACCAGCTCATGCTCGCCCATATTCAAAAGCTGAAAAACAAATCAAACGATAAAAACTAAAATTATTTTAAAGGCAGAAGAACCAAAAATTCCAGTCACGAGACGAAAAAAACTTGAATTACCACCTCCTGTTCATCCATAATTAAAAGCTCAAAAATCACAGAAAAGCCATCGGAATAAATTCCATAATTTTCGAGAGATATCGCCGGATTTTTATTTTCAAAGTGCTCACTGTTAACTGCATTCTACTGTACACGAGGCGATAATTGAACGTTTAGCACAGCGACGAACCTGACGGAACTCCGGATCGTCCGCCGTGCAGTCTTTAAACTCCAGCGTTCTCAGCACCATTCTACCCATTCAATCCACCAACCAGGGTTTTTACTTCCCCATTCAACGCGGTTTAACGAGCGCACACTGTCAACACTCCCCACGGAATGATGGGTCCGCGAAGTACTGATAAAGACGCAATAAAAAATCATCAGCGATTATCAGCTCGCAAATAAATCCCCATCCACGGAACAACATTAGATCGGCCACAAACGCAATCCAAAGATAGATCCGGGAATAAGAATCACAGAAAAAAAATATGCACAGAATTAGGCGACGAGAAAAAGCGTACAGGAGACGAGAGGAAAAACGCGATCAACACTGATCGTGCATCGTGAACCTGCGGTTAATTATCGCTGAATTATTCATCACGGATACGCGCGACAATCATTCTGGCTTCCGATCGCTGGCGAGTCGCGACTACTGATTTGTCACAAGTTAGCGAAGAGTATTACAATTCTGTTGTCTGCTGAAAATGTAGAGCAATAACTGAACAACCTGTGGCAGGCGAATGTGCGATTATCGGGCAAAATGCAATGGTATGCTAACATTTATTGACATTTCCCTAATTAATTGCTCCGCTACCCTAAAACATGCAAAGTATGTAATTGCTGAATTTGCATGAATGAACGCGTGAAGACGGCCGGATTCCATTGGAATTTCCAGTGCACGGGAGGACTGGCCCAACCACTGCGGCGATGGAGAACACAATAGTGAATCCTTCTCACATTGCCTGTAGCGGGCGGTTGGCCGGCCACCGGAAACACTTGCTAGTTGCTGCAGTTTCTGTCATCCAGCTGCCGAACGCCGCCTGCCAATTTGCCACGAATCAGCCATTTTGAGGAATGCTGAAATGTTTACGGCGAGTACGTAGTACGTACTAAGTACAGAGAAACGCTACATTTTCAAATGATTAATAAATTTATTCGGTCGCTAGAATACAACATGTTCATGTCGGTATTTCGTTATAGAAAAATCGGTTAAAAAGTAAAATTAATACCTCGTAAAATCAAACCACAGCAACAGGGCCCGGCATAAGTGACACCAACGATAAATCATAAATGTAAAATGCGTCCGACAGGTTGGATTACAAAACGTACGACTGCCGTAGAGGAATACTTCCTATTTCCTAATAAAAAAAAGCTTAACAGCTGAAGTTTCAACGATTCCACCGCTACCGCGATGCCTGTTTTCCGAACATTACAAGTGTTTAGCATTTTCTTACAACTTGCATGATGAAAATTATAGTTTTTTGGAATGCGTGTCTGCCGCCCATAGCGGCGGTGGCATAATACGTAAAATTCTAGCGCCACTCTTGACTCTAGCTTGCATATAAATATTGATACATATAAAGGGTGTACCGCCGGTATCCAACCCACCGGAAGTCCTATATTATCCCGTCTTGAACACCCAGTACATGGAGCAAATAAAGTAATTAAATTTTTTTCTGCTCATTAATAATAGTTATGTAAGTAAGCAAGTTGCGAATGCTCTTGCATAGGTTTATATTGCAGCATCCGAAATTAATTTTAACAGTTAAAATACCGAAACAGATATACGCTTGTAAAAACATCCGAATAAAGTCTTGTGCCAAAATCACCATGCGCCACATTCGGAAAAATTCCGTTCCTTTTGCAGGCATTATTTTTTACTTCCTAGTTTCCTCCATGTTTAATGCTGTTGGCAACTTGGCAGTTGGCAAACAGTCGCACCACGGCGTACGTCGCAAACTTCATCTGTACTCGTATGCAAGCAGCCAGCTCAATTAATTACCGCTAAATTAAACCGTCGTATTAGCAGTCTATTCCGGGCCGGCCCGATTTCGCCCAGGCCGCACATCTTCACAAAACGACACCCGTCTCTCGAGGAAGACCGTGTTGGCGTTTGCTCCAGATTCGGTGGCGAACTTGGAGGATGCGCGGAATAAATGGGCCAAAATATAAGCGCGGGGAAACAAGGATTTCTCGCCGGCCCACGCTGATTGGTCGGTGGGGCAGCGTGAACGAGCGTGTCAGCGAGCGGCAAGCCAGCTTGGCCAACGAACAGCCTACAACACACCGAGAGTGAATACTTTGCCATTCTCTCTCTGTCCCTCTGTCTCGCAGTCGCTGCGGCTATAACGTTTGGCACACTCACCCAGTCCCGCCCCGCACCGAACCGCAGCAGTGAGTGGGAACTCAGCCGGAAGAAATGATTGACTGTTTAGCGCGGCCGGTGATACACTGGTACCCAGCTGACTGGTAGTGTAGTGTACGGCAACACAACGGCTTCCTTTGCTCCAGTACTCTACTTTCCACTCATACACACACACGCGCGCTCTCGTCGATTGTGTACGAATTGGTTACGGCATTTTTATCGAATTTCTTTCTCTTTTCGCCAAAATTTATTCGCATCTACCTGGTAGAACAACACACACACTGCGAACCATCGCGCGAGAGACTCTCCGTCTTCTCTGGGATTACGTTAACTGGTTTCTGTAGCGGTTGGCTTCTGTGGGGTGAATCACGCTGGCCGATGCTGTCATAATTTCGTGGAATCGCTCGGTCTGTTTTTGGAATTGCGTCGATCCCTGGGAAAGTGTTTTTGAGGTAATTTGGTTGCGCAATGTTGTGACGGCTGCTGCATGCTCCGACATGCATGCGCGGCGTTGGCCACTGGTCAGACAGACTCACAACCCGGATATGCGGATATAGCGTAGTCCATTGTGCGGTCACCAGCCAATCAGCATTGCGCATGCAATGCACACTGACCAACGGCTATATTCCGCCGTTGCGCCAATTTCTGTCTGCATTCTTTCACTTTTCTGCTGTGGTTTACCTACCTTGCCGCTGTCTGCCAATTCAGCCCGCAGCCAGACTAACCTTCCGTTGTTGTTTTTCTTGCATTGCAGAATTTATCCATCCGGAGCGACATTACGCATTATTGATTGTCCGCCATGCAGCGGATACACTGGACTACATTGCGATTATTAGCCGGGAATGGTGCGGCGGGATAAAAATAATTGTTGTTGATGCCGCGGATAATCTGGATTTGACCTGGTTTGCTTGATTGTGGCATTCTCACACTGCCAGCTAATTATATCGTTGGAATATAGCGGCGTTCAGGGCGGCTGATTGCTCGATACACTGCACGGATTGGCGTTGCTGTGTGCTGTTCTTTGACCTGATCTTGGGGTCTGCTGCACCGTTTGCTCGGCCCCAGCGCACAGGGACGGGATGAGCCAGATTCAGACCAGCGCCGGCGCCGCTGCGTATCCCTTGGTTACTCTCAAATCTCTTCTGGAGAACCCATCCATACCTTCCAGACATTATCGTAAGTCCATCCGGGAAATGTTTTGAAAATATTCCGAAAAGAAACGGAGCGCTGGTAATTAAATACATATTTTTGGGAAATTAATTGGCCATGGTTTTCCCATTTTTCCAAACGCCAATTTTTAGCCGCGAATTTTTGTATTTAATATTTATTTTGCCAATTTTCGTATGCAGATTTTTTTAAAAAGCTGAACACCGCAAACCATTTCTTTTTGGTATTTTTATTTGTTATACATCCGATTGAATTCTGCAAAATTAATTTTTCGAAATTAATTTTTAAAATTAAATGATATATTTCGCGCTGATTTCATTTGCCGATTTTCATACATTGAATTTATTTGTGGTTACGGTTTTTAATCGTTTTTTGGATTGCACGCGCGTGTTTTTTTTTTGCGTTATTTACTGTATTTTTATTGACTTACTTAGTCTTACTACAATTGTTACCTCGAATAGATTAATTTTGGGTAACGTAATTTTTAAGGCTGAACAGCGTTCCGGCTCGTAAAATTTGGTTATGAAATATTTACCGTTTAATGCGTTCGCGGTCGATGTACGTAATCAGCGTTTATCGCCAGGTCTCAGGTAATTATCATGGAAACAAAAAGGGTTCGGCATGCGACATCTGAAATTATGCAAATGTCTGCTTTCGTAACATGCAATAATATTTTGACTGGAGCCGGAATAATTCGCATATTTCACTCTGGGAAAATTAGCATAAGTGCAGCGGAAGTGGCGCCGCGAGGTGTCTGATAAGCGCTGATCGTTTGGCTGGCGAAGGTGTGCTTCCGAGTACTGATTAACGATTGGGCCAATTATCAATTTATCGAGTAAAAATATTGACAATTTGCTACCTGATCAGGCGCAGCTATCAGCATATGCCGGGTAGTGGATAGCAATTAGGTAATCATCCCGAAATCGAGCACTGGGTCAATAGTCAACGACTCGACGCGTCCGTGTGTTTATTCGCAGATAAAAGATGTCGTGCAAGTTATGTAATATTTGCTTGTTTCCAAAATTACTACTTAACAGTTTTCTTATGTTGCTTCCAAGATAAACATCATAATTTATTGCTAAATCTTGTTCTTCTCGCTGGCGACCATTTTTATTTACTTTGCAGAAATGCGATCATTTAAGTCGGTGTTTGTTCTGAAATTTTAAATTAGAATTAAATGCTTAATTCAGTAAAATAAATATTGTTTTCCGTTTATTTTATTGTTGGTATTTTTTTAAAAATTTAGAATTAGTTGCGGTTAATTAAATATGAAGAAAAATGCATAATTCAGTAAAATAAACATTGCTGTCCGTTTATTTGATTGTCAATTTTTTAAAAAAACATTTAAAATTAGTTTCGGTTAATTAAATACGTAGAAAAACGTAGGAAATTCAAAATTCATTGTGAAAGAAGCAATGTCAAAGTGCGTATCGGTGTCGGCGGCCGCGCATCGATTTCGGTGGCTTGACAGAGTGGCTGGCTTGATCGGATCAGCGTTAGCCGAAAGTTTGGAGTTTTTTTGCTGATGCCAGCGCGAGCGCCGTGTGTGGTTAGCGAGTGTGTGTGTGTATCGAGCGAGTGGGATTGCGTAATCCGGCAGCGGGTATGGAAATTGAAATGGGGGTAAACGGACAGGCCGGGCAAACGAACGAACGGACGCGCGTGCACACCGCGACTGCTACTGCTGTGTTGTAGCAGCCACTACAGTCACGTAACACGCCCATTTACGCACCGGATGTAGTGCCGTCGAGAGTGTGTGGTGGGCAGCGTTGCAGGCAAAAGTTTTGTTAATTACTCTTCGAAATCCCAGTTATGGGGAAAAATTCAGGGAGCGCAGTTTACTGCATGCGATATTTAATTTGGCGGGATTTTTTGCGGTATTTGTATTAAAATATAAATGCGGTATTTATAAAAAAGCGGTATTTATTCGTATTTTATTTCGCAGCGGTATTTAAAAAATTTAGAATGAACTGCGCTGCGTTTACAGGCTAATAATTATTATTATTTTCGTAGTATCCAAACGAAAACATTGTACTCATAAATTACCATAATTAAAAAAACGCGGCCTTAATTTGCAAGGCAGATTTGGTTCCATTGCAAAATTGGCGTGTTAACTAAAATTTTTGCGGCCGATAAGCGGCTTTTGTGCGTAACGTTCTACGTTTTAGATGATACGACAGAAAAATTCTTATTTTCTGCCATCTCATTTTTAAATAATTATAAAATATTTGTAACGGTGTAGTGCGTTGTTCAAAATTGAACTTGTTTTGCCGGCAACGAAATTAATAGGTATTTGCTGCCGGCGGTGCGGTTCACGAAACGCGCGTGGGAAAATTTGTCGATATTTTTTCGCTTGTTTTTCAGCAAAAATTTTGTGTTTGACTTCCTCACTTCGATGTGCAGCGTAATTTGAATTTTATTTTTTATGTTTTGGTGTTTGAAAAATAATAACTTCAGCTTGCTATTGCTGCAAAATGTCTTTAGCCCTTGCGTAATTCATATGATTTTTTAACAGTCGAAATTTGAAATTCAAAATTACGATTTGCAAAAGTGTGTCAGTATCTCACACCGCTTTCATAACCACTCCTCAGAATTATTTACGGACCCGAAACAAAAACAGACCCGCACACACAAAAAAAGCTCGACTTGGATAACCGCCGCGATTGCTTGCGCAACATCCGTTTGTTGTGTGTTTTTTCTCCTTCGCACACGCGGTACCATCTTTAGTGAGCGCGCGAATCGCGAGAAAAAAACCCCACCAGCCGTGTAATCGATTATTCAAGTGCAATAGGGGGGAGAAAATAATGCCGCGGTGCATTCTGCGGCCGCGTCCGATCCGCGCGCGCACCATCAAGGCCACGGGTTGAACGGACAACGAAGAAGCCCAAGAAAAATGCCGAATGCGGTAATTGGGCCATCAAAATAAACACCGGCCACATACAGCGGCGTTGGGCAATTGTTGCCGTCCGTTCGTTAACATTGTTCGCGGCTGCTGCACGTGGATGCACACAACGGAAATTATTAACAATCAGCGAAGTGTTTCGTTCGTTATTGTGTCCATTTCGGTTGCGCCGGATTATTATGCTGATTTTTATTTCACAATGAGTTGTAGACGGTAATGGTTTTATTGGCCTTGAATAATTTACTGAAAGTAAAAGCTTAAGGAAATATTTTTCGGTATTTCAAGCTCCTATACGGAGCACAAGAAATTCCTTATGAAAAACATTTTACAGTTTGGTTTCGAAGTAATGGACGTAACAAACACTGTGGTAAATAACGAAAACAAAAAAAAATATTTTTAAAATTATATCGCTGTGTCTGTGAAATATTGCAAGAAGTAGGATGTTTTTAGTGAGCAGTGCGACGTTTGCTATAAACTTTGCCGATAAGTATTGTCAGCCCTTGCACTACGCTATTGTGCTAACCGTACCGGCAGCATCGCGTCTGCTGAGCATTGAGTTATACTGTGCAATGGGCAATATGCAAAGTGTATTAAGTATAATATTGGCGCATTCAGCAATCACTAAACAGTGGATCGTGAGAAATAAGTACTTCCATTTTATTTTGGATAGTCGATCTCGAACCTTCTATACTTCTAGTACTGGAGAAAATTTTCTGCATTGTAGTGATCTAAAAAAACGTCGGATTAATAATTGTTGTGTTTCGGCCGGTTTTATATTTTCCGAATAGTTCTTGTAGCAGCTCAAAGGGAAATTAATGGTAATCAGAGAATGGTATTTCAATTCAGTTAGTGTGCAATTGATATAGGCGTATATTCCTTCAGTTGTAGATTTTCTCCGAAACGCTTTACAATCGGTAGTGCACTCACTATATGATTAAATTTTTCCCTCGTTTGTCGTGCTAGTTAGAGCAGCCGTTTTGCCGGTGAATAGCAGACATCCTTGCAGTAGCCACAACTCTGGCGACCTTGCAACGGCGCGCCATACACACCAAGGTTGCGCTCCTTGTTCTCGTTACCTCGTGTACACACGGCAATCCGCTGGCTACTTTGTTGATTATGATGCGATGGGCTCTGGTCTCTAATCAACAATCCAGCCTTGGCCTTGCCGGTGTCCCTGGCCACTAACTCCACAGATACACACACCACTCGGCGACACTAAACACTATTCAAAAAATGCGAAAAAGTTAAACGGCGCAGCCGGTCAGTTTCCCGTATAACTGCGCCCCACTGACCATGCATATAGTGGCGCCGTGTGTTTGCCGATGAATGGAACAGTCGAGGAATCCGCAGTTGAATGCCGGCAGCGGTTAGATTGTTTCTGTGAATCACCTGGCACCGAATTATTCGGATGCGTTGATTGATAATATACCGTTTCTATGAGGCGCAGTATTCCGGTTTGCCGGTGTGAATTCGGAGTAGGAATTTTTTTCCGCTTTCCTCCGTGGAAGTGCTGCGTTGTTCCGTTTGCACTCGATCATTCGCTGCTGTACATAGCGCTACGCTGCTAATAGTATATTATTTTTAGCGAATTATGCGCGCTTTTAATGGGGAAATATCGTTTTTTTGGCTGTTTAATTGACGTTTATTTTTAAACCGGTAGTGTGATTGCGATTATGGATGTTTGAATATTGATTGTAATATTTACTGCAAATTGCGTACCATGATTTCGCATCGGACGCCCTTGCCGGCGCACTCGCACCATATTGGTCAACATGTCAGTATGTCGATGGAGAACTTTTATTTCGCTCCCAATAATCGAAATTATCAATATGCGCGCCCGTTACCGGCGAAGCGTAAGTTGCGTTTTGCATCGTTTTAGATTTATAGCATTTATTACGATGATTAGAAGGGCACTTTTTAATTAATACTTTGTTATCCTTAGCAGTTACATTTGCTGCAGAAGGATTCTGAGCATTAATTCAATTGAAAAAGGCTGCAAATTTTGTACAATGTAAAGCATGAATTATTATTTTCTAAATATAAGTAAATTTGCTTCGCCGCTAGAATTTACAAAAATTATTACGGCAAGTTTGCGTGCGCTTTTTTTGCATGTATTCCAAGGGTTGAAGCTTAAAATGTTAATTTTAAAGTTGTAGGTAAATATAAAAAATAGAATATAAAAATCTCTATTTTTAGAACTGTGGTTTTGCAGCTGACTCTCTTAGTCGAACAGCAATTAATAACATTCCGCCAGTTCCGTGTTTGGAATGGCATTTGATGTATGACAAATTTCGTAATTATTTGGGTTTGCAACATCGTACTGTATGGTAAAAAAAGCGTTATTTTAAGCGAGGTGCATTGGCACCGTGGTGCATTGTTGAGGGGTGCGATGTTACGCGGGATGCGGTAACGATTGCGTTGGCTGATCTAACGGTAGACGCGCGCGCTGCCGATGCGGTAAGGCCGCTCGCTGTTCAATGACACAGCTAACCACCGTCTGCGCCGGCTCTGTCTCAATGGACAATGCGCGTTCTCTGACCTTGAGCGGCTGACGGACGCTGACGTCAGCCCGGCTATCTGAGGCCGCGTTCAATGACAAAGCACAGGGGGAAGGTTCAGGTTGAGGATAAGCCGGCGCATTTTCCCACAGAACGCACAGCAGGCGGATTAATTAATTATTCAGTAATTACAGTAATCATCCAAAAATGAGCGTAGAAAATCTGTAATCGTCACGTATAAAATACGTTTAAAAACTTAAGTATAGAGTACTGGTGTTCGGCAGTTGGCACTAAAATTACATACTGTAGGACGCTGCAGTAGCGAAAAAGTAATTATTTAAATTTCAGATATTATTTTATTGGTGCAATAACTGAAGTGAAAATTACTATAAATTCTGGCGAGCAGTTTTCTCAATAAATGAGTGTTTAAAGATTGAGCTGCCAAGCGCTACCATAAGCAGCACGGGGAACATCAGAAAATTGCAAATTAAGGATTTTCTGTTTTCATACTTGGTTCTTAGCACATCGAGGTGTTTATTGGACTAAAAAAATTACAGTTAAATTAAACATTAATACAGTGATAATTGCAAATAGATAAAGTATCAGTTTAAAAAAAAAACTGTAACGCGACTGGCCACCGGAAATACCTAAATTAAATGATTTAAAAATTTGCTGGCCTTATTACAGGCAAACTCGCCTCCTCCGGCGGGAACTCCCTGTTCTCCATGAACAGCAAGAAGGCCGACGTGGCCTCCTCCCTGCCGGTGCCGTCGCACTCCGCGGCCTCCCCGTCGGGCCACTCGCCGTCCAGTGTGGCGGCGGCGGCCGTGGCCGGCGCCTGGGGCGGCGTGGCCGGTCTGGAGCAGTTCGAGTCGTCGGCGGCGCAGGCCTTCCTCGGGCCCAGCATCTGGGACAAGCCCAACCCCTACGAATCCATGGCCGCGGTGGGGGGCCCGCACGACTTCAAGCTGGAGTACATGGACCTCGACGAGTTCCTCTCCGAGAACGGACTGGGCGGGCCCGCCCAGGGCACCAGTACCGGCGGTCACCACGGTACAGCAATAAAAGTTTTAATAAAATTTAATTAAAAAATTATAAAAATATAATTTGCAAGTTTTTAATTTTTCCCAGCCAGTTTATTTCTGGTATTTCCAGATTAATAAATTTTTTATAAGTTTTCTTATTTCTTGCATTTTGTTAAAATTAACCAAGTCTATAGATGCATATAGTTTAATTTCTTTTCCTGTGTTTTATAATATTTGACGGATATCTAGGTTGTTTATTAATTTTTACTTGAAAATTTGCAGTTAATTAAATTAAATATCCAATTTCTTATTATTAATAAATATGTTTTTTTAACTTTGCGTTTTTAAAATATTAATCATAATGATTTGCGTTGGTAATCCGAATCATTGTGAATAAGTAGCTGCTGTTATTCTCACTCAAAGCGCCATAGCGCAGTTTCTTCAACAGCCATGCTACAGCGTGCTGTTTGGTTTACGTCGTTTTGGCAGCAATTTGTGTAATTGCAAAGGTCGGCATTAAACTGCTGTTGATATGGTGAGGCGTGTAATTAACGTCAATACGGTCTGCTTAGGTGTGGCCGGCCTGGGCAGTCCGCACGGCGGCTCGGCCTGCTCCAGTCCCAACCAGACGCACATGGGCGGCGGGGCCGGCGAGGACAACAAGGTCAGCAGTTCCACCGGCTCCAAGGAGCGCGAGTCCCCGGGAGGTAAACACAAGTGTGCCCGCTTACCTGTTCAAATACCCTGTCTCAGTGCGCTCTCCTCTCTGGCAGAAGATCTCCCCGGCGTGCCGCACGTCCTCAACAAAGACTCCATGCACATGGGACCCGATATGAATGGCGGTACGTAGCACAATAAATCCCATAGCGCTAGCCTTCGCACATGTTTGATTCATAATCCTATTGACTTTTCTGTATAACTGTATTCAATGATAAATCTCCATTGACGTCGCGGTATCGGTTTTTTTATGGTGTTGTTGATGCCGGTTTGATACGTCTTAATTTTGTTTACACTATGGGTCAATTTAACGGATTACTGTACTGTGCATATACGCATATTTTCACGACGTTCACGGTATCAGTGGGCAATCAAACCAGTCATTCAGCAACCAGACATTACAAAAAATACCGCGATGTGAAAACTCTTTTACTTTGCATACGTATTATGCTCTTTTGTATGCAAATGCCTACCAGAAAAGCAGCCAAGGAAATAGGAAAAAATATTATACAATATATAATGAAATGTATTGAAGTACGAATAGTGAGCAATATAAATTACAAATATTAAAATAATTCGAATGGAAAAAATATCGACTTATTTGGTAATCATGGATCTCAGCTCATGAAACTGATAAAATTAATGATATTTATTGTATGCATTGCTGACTGCTGAGACTACCGAACGTTAATATAAGACGACGATAAGAGAGTACGAAAAATGAAGGAAGAAATCAAAGTAGTAAGGAAATAATGTAAGACATCAAATGAAAATCGAATAATAAAAATATTTGTTAAAATTTCATGAAAAGTGAATGTTGTTTTCATTAGTAACTTAAAGATGCCTTTTTCTTGATTATTATTGTATTGAAAACAATAGTTAATTGTTGCATTTTTGCCCGGCAGATATGGCCATGGCCCCCGTACCCGGCTCCACGGTGAACTTTGACCCGCGGCGCCGCCGGTTCAGTGAGGAGGAGCTGAAGCCGGCGCCGATGGTGAAGAAATCCAAGAAGCAGTTCGTGCCCGACGAGCTGAAGGACGAGAAGTACTGGGCGCGTCGGCGGAAGAACAATCTGGCGGCGAAACGCTCGCGGGATGCCCGGCGCATCAAGGAGAACCAGATCGCCATCCGGGCGGCCTACCTCGAGAAGGAGAACCACAAACTGCGCGAACAGCTCGATAAACTCACCCGCGACAACATGGTCATGCGCGAGAAGCTGGCCGCGTCGGCCAAGATGGATCTGGGGAAGAACAGTGCACACTGAGGTAAATTAGGCAGTTTCTTATGGGCGTCGACAGTTATTTCTCGATCCTGTCAATTTTATTACATTTCTGAATTTGTAACAGAATTTCTGAATCGTATTAACTGGTAATTCACAGCGCGGTTTATTCCTGCGAATATTTTGATTATTGTCGAATTCATCGAACAACAAACATTACAATAAACCTTTATAATATTTCGTTGACGACCATATCGATTGTTGGAAAAATTAAACTTCGAGCCAAATTAAATTAAACAGCTTTGTATTGTAATAAATATTGTATGATTATGCAGTACAATTAAAAGCATTTTTAATCAGTCTTTTTATTCCGAAGTATTTTGTCAAGTTATTCGGGAAGAAAAGATGCGAATATATGAATGTGATTGTTTTATTTTTAATACTATAAATTTTTTTATTTTAGCGTTTATGTTTTATTTTACGCCGTACAATTTTTTGCTTTAATTTTTGCAGGACACATGCCAGCCTCTCCGCGTTTTCATACTGCTGAGGAAATCATTTTACCAAAGTTTTTCTAATGGGCCTTAAATTCGATGGTTATCAGTGTTCTTTGAGCCGCCGCCGCAGTTTGCCGTGTGGTTGTGTTTTTATCCGGAGTGTTGTCGACGTACCACCACACGTACCCACTCTTCCCGTTTTTCCCCCGCGAACGCTAATTGCCGAGACGGACTAATTGTTTTTGTACAAATAATAATTTTCGGGAGAAGCGCGCTCTCCTCTTGTGTTTTTTCCTGCGTGGACGGCGTTGGAGCTGTGTGCGGGAAGTGCATTACTCCGGTGTGAGGCAGGATGGAGTCCATGTTTTTTGTTACATTGGGAAAATCGTTCTGCACCGGTCGGCTGAATACTGGGTGTGTTCGGCCGCCGCTGAAACAAGTATTATCGTGACCTCAGTTGTCGATGGCGTCGTTGCTGCCGCTAAAGCGTGGTTTAATGTGAAACCGGTGTCCGTGTCTTTTTCTGTTTTTTTGGTGTTTGTAATGTTGGCATATAATAATACAGTATAATAATACAGCGCTTTTATTGTCTTTTTTTCTGGCCACTTTTTCGCCGGTGAGGATTTTAATTGTTTTTTGCTCTGGTTGGCTGCGTGCCGCCGGTGTTGGCGCATTTATTCCGCAGGATATTTGGAAAAAATTAAAAATCCTACTATCCTAATGTATCTTGAGGCCAAGTAAAGGAACTTGTGAAAGGAAAACAACTTCAAATGTGAGTTTGTGTATAATTTTCATGAAAAGTATCGTAGCTGGCGGTTGAGCCGGCAAAACGCGATTTCTTCGCATGCTACGGTTAAAATTTTATTGGGAACAGTTTGCTTTCGATCAGTTTCCTCGTTCCACAGCGAGAAACATTCAAAACATTCCGATTGAGCGGCCGCATTGACCCGAATTATTAGTCAACAAGTTACAAGAACCCACTTCGCTTGAAGATCATGATTACGAAAGTAGAAAAAACATATACGAAAATACTGCGCAGTCTTTGGGGGCGTCATCGACAGGCCTTGTCCGGATGGAGCGGTCAGGCAGGGTCTTCCTCGTCGTCCTCCACGGGCCCGGGCGCAGCAGCGGTCGGTTGGGCCGGCGTGGACCCGATCCGAGCCACCAGCATTCCCATCGCGGCCAACGGGTCGGGACCAATACCACTCGGCTGGCCTGACGGCTGTTGCAGTGGGAAGCCACTTCCGGAGACCATGCCGGGCCCACGCTCCTCGGCTTTGCGGCTGCTAGCAGGCGTAGAGCCGGTCGATCGCGGGTCGGCGTCCGGGCAGTGTTCGATCGACTGAATCTTAATTCCCTTTTTCTCTAAGAGTTCGTTGCAAGTCCTGTAAAAAAACGAGGTGCACAATGCGTCTGAGACTCTGAGTCAATGCACAAACTGCAGCGCCTTACGCAACTTTATTTATAAGGATCATCACCAAAAGAGGCACTAAGCACTTACACTACTGAATTTTTTATTTCAAACTTGTACAAGCAATGCCATTTACACTTAAACTAAAAAAGCAATGAATACGGTAGTCTGTTAATCGTAAACTGCATTACTGCATATTACAGTATTACTGAAACCACTGCACTACGATAATATTTCCCATGCGCCACATTAAGTAAGTACTGAAAGCCAGCGTATTTACCGCTTGTGCTTACCAAATCAACGTGTTCATCGCCGATTGATTTCCCCACAAGTTAATGGTCAGGAGGACACTACCCTCCTCTTCGTCCATAAGGCGGTGTTTAGCAGCAGACACCAGTTCACAATTTTCGAACTTAGCACCAATCTAGAAATCACAATTAAAAACTTTCGGGTGGCCGAACTCGGTTTGTTTCTCGCGAACCACTCGTCGTACCGTAAACAAAGACAATTAGACTGACTGGTGAAAACACGAAAATCTGCGGTTGATAAAATTAACACATCCTCGCTGACAACTGTCCCATTTAAAACAGCAGTGTCTTTTGGCTTCGCACCCGAATACGGTCACTAGTGAGTCGCTGTTCTTAGCAGCAAAAAACGAGGAACAATCTCTCTACATGTACCAGAAACTGTACGATAAATTCAGCATATCTACTCAGATAAATAACATGAATTTTTCAATTCAATAGAAGAAAAATTTGAATTTTTGTCTCCGGGACATCCTCTAGCTACAGCCATTTTCTCAAAACATTTTACTAAAACTCAAAATCTTTAATTTTTTTCTAATATTTACTTACACCGAAACTGTTCAACATCTCTTTGGCAACTCCTTTTTCCCAGACGCTTTTGTAGAGGGATGCCGAAACGGGATCTACAAAATTAATACCAAACTGTTCCTTAAACCTTTACACAAAAACTTTTTGTGTCAAAAAGAAACCGAACACGTGCCAGAATGTGCAGGCTTACCAAGTTTAATGATCATCTCATGGTAATCTGAAAAATGCAAACAAACAAAAAATGCAAACAACTGAAACAGTCAATATATACACATGGTTACGCGGTAGTAGATACGGTAGATCAATTAGAATGATTAAACATTAAAATTTACAAGCGTGAACAGCTGATTGCCAACGAGATTTTCCGTAACCCGGTGATAAACAAGTTTTTTTGTTAATAGCTTTAATATTATTTTTAAAAAATGGGACGCTGAAACGGGGATGGAAGAATAGGTCTGATCCAAAAATTATGGAACGGAAATAAGTTGGACAAATTGTAAGAAAAAAATGAGAGCATATATCGGTTTGTATACCACTGGCAACTGCTGATATCTTACCACTGCTAATATTTTCGCTGGTGCGCGCCGTTCCTTGCGGTTTCATGGGATTAGATGGGTTCGTTGTATGCGACATCTGCAATTATTTTTAAAATCGAAAGAAGACAGATGTAGGAAGTTTCATGAATATTCCTAATATTCCAATGTGCGTGTACGTTTTATAGGGCTTAACCGTAGTCAAGCTGAACAGACAGAACTACTTTTATAATAATTTATAACTCTCTCTGTGCTCTATCGCTCTGTCTGTTCAGCTTTGACTACGGCTGAACCGCTGAAGCATCGAACACTCACTTTTTCAGAAAGAAATCCTGGCTTCCAGTTTGCGTTTCTTATTCTGCAGCAGATCGATGGTGCGATCGATTTCCTCAAGTAACGGGGAAGGATTACCGCTGGAATCCACCGGGGAAACTAAGTGCAGATCGGAACTATTGCCACCGTTGCAATCTGATAACTGCTCCGGGTTCCTGGCTGAGTCCGTCGCAAAAACGAGTTCGAAGAAGGACAGCTAGTGGGGTTTTCCAGACTCCAGCCAAACTCAACGCAGTGCAACACAATCGTTGTTTAGCAGCAAAATTAAAAAATGCTAAAATCATCTTGTGTGACGACGCAGTATCGTTTTTGCGACGGACTCAGCCAGGAACCCGGAAAAGTTGGCAGAATGCAACGGTGGCAATAGTCAATGCGATCTCCAGTTCGTTACTACAACCTTAAATTAAGCAGGATAGATTTTGCTTGATAACACCGTAACAATAGAATGGAGCAATCAGGATTCAGGAGACCTGGAACAACCAGAAAAATGTCCAGTGAAAAACTGGGGAATGAAAATCAAAAAACGGGTTTTGCAATGTCACTGAGTCAGTGGCGGGGTGAGTCGAAGCTGATAATTATGCACTAATATGCAGTTCGGCTCTCTACGCTGCTAATACCGGTGATCATGGAGAATTCCCTGTACTCGGATACGGCCGAACGATAATGTAAGTACAGGGAAACGACAAGCGTTAAAGATAATTTTGGTAATGCCATTTGACTCATTTCCGCTTGACTCATTTCCGCTCCCAACTTCGGCGATGAGAAATCGCACTACGAAGTTTACTGACGCGGTGAAAAATCCTGATTCTGCTCCCATTTTCTATCCTGCTGATTAGGAAGATTGGTCGTGATTTCAATTAATTTCGGGCGCAATGATTTGATCCGTTTTTACCATGAAAGTTTTATCCTGTTTTATCTGTTTCACTGTTTCAGAGATCCATATGTTATACTGCCCGCATAATCGGTGATTTTAATCTTTCACAGAGATTATTGCTTGTGAATTTTTTAAATTTTAAATAATTAGCTTTAATTTAGCCAGTGGATGTGGTTGAGTTATACGTACTTGCACCTTTATCGTAAGATCTGATCAATTAATACAAAAACAACCTGCGGGCTGTATAACTCGTTAAATGAGCCGCGTGAAGAAAACAGCCTGAACCACAACAAAGTCACGTGGATGCGTGGAGATCCGACCGCAGAACGCGCGTGTGTTGTGTATGAGCAGAGACTTTAATCGACCATTCCGCGTCACATTCATCAGTCGCACAACACTCGTTGCAGGAAACGATTTCTGGACTACTGTTTCCTTGTTTTTGACCCGCGTATGGCAGTATTGTAGCATGTTGAGAATATTTAATTTGTGTGGATGACAGTCATGACACGAATCTTTATGGAACGCGCGAGCGGAATTTTTCATTTTGTGGAGCAGAGTTTTGGCGTGTCTCGTTGATTTGTATTTGATTCAATCGGTGGAGATTTGAAAAGGTAATTTTTGGTAATTATTGAAATGATTTACAACTATCTTGGCCGAAAAATTGTGCGGTTGCTAGTTGGACTTAACTTTGCTTATTTTGATTTATATCCCATTTTGCCTTTGCAGTGGCGCTTATTAGTCTTATCGTTTCTTTCCCTTCACGACTTCCTTTAAGTTCCCAGTAAAATTTTGAATTTTCACGCGATTTTTCTGGATTTTTTCAGTTTTATTTAATTTTGATGTGGAGCGTCGATCAACGTTTAAAACGAAAACGGCATAAAATCGTGGCTGTCAAAATCTACGGTTCGTTTATTGGTTTTAATTTTTTAGTAATATTTTTCGCGCAGTTTTATAAGTACTTATTGTATATTTTTACTGGAACATTCCTTGCTTATTGGATAATTAAAACTATTTTTTTGGGGAAATTGTGTAATTGGTAGGTGTGTAAGTGAAGAGGAGTGTTGAGGATGGCGGAGAAGGTGCAGAATCTGGCGCAGGCCATCTACGCGGAGTTCGAGAAGCTGATGGGCAAGTACGACGAGAAGGTGGCGGACGGGCTGATGCCGCTGATCGTCAACGCGCTGGAACTGCTGGACGCCAGCTGCGTGGAGAACGAGGAGCGGCGCGCCGAGGTGGAGGTGCTGCGCGAGGACAACGAGCAGCTCATCACGCAGTACGACCGCGAGAAGGCCCAGCGCAAACACTTCCAACAGGTCCGTTGCTCCTTACTTGTCGATCTTTTTAAGGTCGATGCTGCGTGCACGGGAAAACACGGGTGTTGGCTGCGTGCACGGGTGTCTGCACGGGTGTTGGCTGCGTGCACGGAGTTTGGACACTGGTGTTGACTGTGTGCACGGGTGTCTACAGGGATGTTGGCTGCGTGCACGGTTTCTCACATTTTTTTTACGTTTGAGTGTTGGCTGATTTGATATTCGAGTCTTCTTACTGTGACTTTCAAGTTGTTTCAAGTACAGTAATACACAGCACTGTATTAGCAAGCACTAATGGCTGGTAACACAGTAGTTATGATATACGACAAAATTTGCAGTACCCGGTTTTGCGGCAAGCAAGTTTTTGATGCGCTTAGGACATCGTCGGAGTACAGCACGCCGTCGCCTTTAAAACGGCATGTTTCAGTAAACTTATGGAGGCCGTTTTATTGTACGGTCTACGAAACTACTGTGGTTTCGAATGGAACCGGGTACTACTTAGTATTTACCAGTGTTTTTGGTAAAAAGTATGGATTTTGTGACAGATTTCTATAGTAATTATTTAAAAAAATCGAAATAAAAGAATAGAAGCATTCTTTTATTAATAATCATCGCACAGTTATGGTAATAAAGAAAGAAACACGCTATCACAATAGCAAAACTTAATTTGTTGAATAATAGAATACGTTGAAGAATAGAATACGTTGAATTATTAGTAAAAAAATTTTATTTAAACAATTTAAAATTAAATAAATTACCCGTGCATGCAGCCAGCGCTCGTGCAGGAATCCCGTGCTCCCAGCCAACACCCGTTCCCAAACTCCGTGCCCACAGCCAACACCCGTGCGGACCCAAAAAGTTCACCCGTGCAAATAGCTAACACCCGTGTTTACCCGTGCACGCAGCCATAATGTTGTGGTGACCACTCCGTACACACCCTTTTACACCCTTTTACTCCGTACACAACCTTTTGCGCTACCTTTCATTCCGTGCACAACCTTTTTGCGCTACCTTTCATTCCGTGCACAACCTTTTTGAGCACTACCTTTTACTCCGTACACAACCTTTTATTTTTTTTTAATTTTTTCACAGCAAAGTTGTTTCTGGAACCACCGCTTTTGCGTTAGCAGCAGTTATTTGCTGCATATTTCAAAGCATCATCGACAGTTACAAAATCGAATTCCCGTGAGAAAATAATTCTAGGCGCCCTGGTGCCGGTTTTTCTTCGCAGGGTTTGGACAGTCCTTAAAGCTTGACATAGAGGAATTAAGACATAGTGGAATCTTCGCTTTCCGAGCTTGACATAGTGCAAAAGTTTTAGAGAAAAAACTCCAGATTACCATAAGTACATACATACTGTAACAGTTATCAAAAAGCTTAAAAGGACTTATTGCAGTAAACGTTTAATAAGACTCTTACTGATCGTGGATTGGTAGTGTACCGAGTGAATGGTAGTGTCGAAGGTTGTGCACGGAATGGAAGGTAGTGCCCGGAAAGGTTGTGCACGGAATCAAAGGTTGTGCAAAAGGTTGTGTACGGAGTAAAAGGGTGTGAAAGGGTGTGTACGGAGTGGTCACCTAATGTTTTTTTAATGTCTGAGTTGTTGCTATCAAGTGTACTCTGTACCGGCGCTTGCAATCATTGTTACCTTGTAGATTTTGTTCTAAAAATAATTGCTATCACTTGCATGAATGTTCTCCATTTAAAACAGGAAAATCATTTTCCGTATTTTGCCGAATTTTCTGTTGTTTTTTCTTGAAATGATTACTCGGAAAATCTGGGTTGGCTGGTTTCCCGTATTTCGTTTACAATTTTACTGGTTTCTAACATAAGAAAATTGTTTTTATTATTTACGTTCTTGTTTTTAATTCGTTATTTCTCGCAATATGGAGATAATTTTTCAGGTTAGTTTTTATTGTTTCTGGTTTCCCTGTTAATCCGTTTTCTGGTTTCCCTTTTACATATGTGTCTGCTAAATCTCAAAGTTTCCGGTCGGCATTGCGCGGCTATGTATGAATAATTTTGCGCAAATTTCTGTTCTTGGTTTGGCTTTTTTAAACGTGATACCGTTTTTGGACAGTTTAATGTGTTACGGCTACCACATACGGTATTTTTAATACAGTAATACTGATGTTAATGAATCGTATGCAGAAAGTGGTGGAGGTGGAAGACTCGTTGGACGAGGAGAAGCGGCAGCTGCAGGGGAAGAGCGACAGTCTGGAGGCCATTGTCCGCATTATGGAAGTCAAGTCGAAGAGCGCCGCCGATCAGGGTGCATAATTAATTCCGAGTGCGAAGAGCGAACTGGAAGTTGCACAGGGCGGCAACGTGGAGCCCCGCAGTATCCCCTCGCATCTCATCGCCGCGGCAGACGCCCACAACCCCCTCCCCCAGACTGTGAAGGAGGAAAACAGACAGGTCAACGCACGTCCTGATGGCTGCAGCTGCCAGGACAGGCGCAATGCAGTGGACAGCCTGATGGTCTCTAACTTTAACTTAACTTTAATTTTGTTCTAGGCGACAAATTAGTCACACAGATTATTGGTAGTGTTTGCTCACAAGAATAGTAAGGCTGGAGAATAAGAATATATGTTAATAGGTTGGCATAAAAAGAAAAAGAAATCAGAAAATGGTAGAAATTTCGCTGTTCAAAGTTAAGTCATTGGATTATAAAAGTCATTATTAGCATGTTGTGTTAACAGTAAAGAGATGGCTGAAAGAAAGCAAAAGGTTGGATTTACGGGTTATTAGCTTGAAGGTGTTGCTGAATGGCTTCGGCGACGTTGCGTTCCCATTGCAGGGTGTCGGAGCTGACATTGAAATTGACGTTCGGTAGCTGTTCTAGTCGATGGCGCAGATTACGCAAGGACATTTTTGCCTTTTCCCGCCCCGCCGCCATCGTCGATCGTCCCGCCGCCCTACCCCGACTACATCGCCGGCATTCGCCGTAGCCCCGGGGTGGCTGGCAACGAGCAGCGGGACTGTGTGTGGGTCGGCTGCCGGAACAAGATCCATGTCGTCGCCCCTCTCCATGAAGATCCTGGTAGGTACATGTGGATAAGAAAAGTGGCGCGTTGAATGGTCGAAAAAGTGGCAGCCTTTCGTTCGCTATGTACATGGTGTGTGAAGTGGATGTTAGTCGTCGTAGAGTAGTGGCTGTAAGTAACCGATATCCGTGAAAGCGCGCAGTGAAACGTGCATTGCCTTTGAAATGAGTATCTCTCGATGAAGATTTTACGGCGATAAGCTTGAACTTTTTGTAGTAGAAATATTATGCGTATGTGGCCAACTTGATACGTGGGCGCTGCTGCACTTAAATGAAGTTTGTAGTGAACATGAACATTCGATTAAATCACAGTAAAAAATATGTTGGGAATTCACTGGCTTTCATTGTTTGGTTGTGAATTCTGAGTAATACGGCGCGGTGTTGGATCCTTGTAGAGCAGTTTCGAGGCGCATTCGCGGGTGGACAGCGCCATCCGGCAGATGGTGGTGGTGGGGCAGGGCGGTGGAACTCGCTGCGACTGGACAACACTCTGCGTCTCTTCCACGCCCGCACCATGCAGCACCTCCAGGATCTGGCCGTTGAGCCGCTCTGCGCGCTGGTCGCCGGTACGAGCTGATTTTATTTGCCGTTTTCCATGAATTTATTGTAATACATTGCCGTCGTATAGCGTCAGTGCAGTATGATGAAAGTGTGAATTATTCTATGTTAGGTAAGAGTCGCTTGGGCATCTCGCTGGTGCGCATCACGGCCATGTCGGCCTCGTGTCGGCGCCTGTGGATCAGTATACCGGCGTCGTCCTCTCCATTCCCCTCAGCTTTACGCCAGGTAAAACTCCATTATTATTCCATTTTTTTATTCCATTATTATTTTATTTTTTTCCGTTAATGTCTTATTTTTTATAGCTTTTTTACAGATTTCTGTATCACTGTTATTATTAATAATTTAGATGCCAGCAACCCGGACAAGGAGGCGGCGGGCGTGGCGAAATATCTGCCCGGGTGCGATGATACACTGGCGCACGGTGTCCTATCACGGACACCGGGAGGAGGGCAAGTTCTTCATCTCCATACCAGGTGCGTTGTATTGCGCTGATCTCATTGGACAGCAATTCGTAATGCACGCATTAATGATATTGATAAATGATGGCTGAATGCAGGAACGTACACACTACACACCCGGCGGGGCCGCACCGGCCAGCAACGACACCAGGCCCAGCCAGGAGACGCCAGCCTGCTGGTGTCCGGGGGTGAAGGCTACGTGGACTTCTGCTACGGTAAATTTACCCTAGAAATTACAATAATAAATTGATTCAGTGAGAAATAATTGGCAAACATTAGCAGCATCCTGCTATCAGTCAGAACGAACGGTTGTTGTGAACGTAGTGGAGTGGGTTGTATATAAGGGGATGGAACAGGCAGACGTATAGATTGAACAGAATATGGTTGTTAGTAACAACCATATTCTGTTCAATCTATACGTATACGTCGGTAACAACTTGTTACCGACTCGTGATAAAAATTAGTAATGATATTTACTTTATTTTTCCTGATGTGTACAAATACAACGGATCGTATTAAAATGAATTTTTAAAAATTAAAAAAAAAACTGTTACCAATATTATTGCAATTTAATTGATTGTTATTCCCGTCATAATAGTTCAGTTGGTGTATGAATAAGAAAATTTTCGAGAAATGGAGTCAGTTGCTTAAATTTAGGTCAGTGGGCTGGTTTGTATATGTGCCTTTGGGGAAAACTTTAACGACAAAAATTTCCATTGATGCTTTAGCGAATGAAATACTTGGACCCAGGTAAATAGCTTTGCTGATACAGTGTTAAAATGGTGTGCAGATGACAGTGCGGAGAGCGGACTGGAAGATTCTCCCGGCGGCATCGTGGAACCCCGCAGTATCCGCTCGCACCTGATCGTGTAGCAGACGCCGACCCCGCCCACCTCCTCCGCGCCGACCCTGAAGGGGAACGCCGGACATCCCCTTCCCTCACCCCTTAAGGCGGCAGCTAGCAGGACAGGCGCAATGCAACGGACAGCCGTGATGGTCTCTAGTCGGTGACGCAGATTATGCAGAGATGCTTTTGCCAGTTTATCACACTGACCTTTCGTTTCGACGGCTTCCAGTATGGTGTTCGTAGTGTTACCTTGTTCATTGTGCTTTTACTTGTCTTTTAATTGGAGTTTCTATTTGATTTTACTGATTTTATGCGCTTCTAAATGGAATTTTTAATGGTGTTTGGTTTTAATTTTGTGGTGGTAGATTCTTGTGGATTTTGCGAATTTGTGATTGGTATTTTACGTGGGACTCAGGTCAGTCAGTACCTTTTACTGGGGCAGTTCAAACGTTATTACGGGAAATAAAAACAGAATAAACTGAAAGAGGACATTCGGAAATATTTAGGTTATTATAGAAGAACTCATTGTGTGCGAGTTTGCTGCAAACTCTTAAAAACTCTTACTTCCTACATGTTCTCACTTTAACCGACTACTATAATAATAATTATAGTAAGCGAAGCCGAAGTATGTACAAGGCGAGCTTGAGCGAAGCTCGCCTTGTACATATTGAGAAATAAACTACTTGAAGGATTATAGTAATGTTTTCAACTGATTTTTTTAACAAGCTTTCCACTGATTTGAATCCTGTACAAGCATATGTACAGTCATATGTGGACGCGTGGAGGAGGAGTACTGTACACATCGGATCGGTACGTACATCCCGACTTCTGTACGCCTTTACCTGCAAAACACCGGGTGTTATCTAGTCAAGTATACCGTATTTTTCGAATTTAAAGCCTCCTCCAAAATTGAAGCCTCCTCTATCGTATAAGCCTCCCCCCCCACCTTAGTTCGAAAATTTAGTAGCCTCCTCCGTATTGGAAGCCTCTCTCTATATACGATGTATAGCAATTACGCTAGTTTAAAGGCTTTGAAAATTTAAAAGCCTCCTCCACAATATAAGCCTCCTCTGCTGTATAAGCCTCTCCTCAAGCACCTTCGAAAATTTAGAAACCCAGGGCTTCTAATTCGAAAAATACGGTACTTCGATATAATTATGATTCGTTACTACTTGTCAGTACGTGAACATAGCACGGTGTATCCGATTGTGTCATAATTCGAAGTAGAGGTGGCGGACCGTACTGATGGTGGATTTCAATACGGCTACATACGGTTTCAGCCTACGCCTTTACGGCTATAATGTTTTCGTGCACGGTATTATATATACAAAGCTACTTCGCCGTTTTTTTTATCCAACATCTCCTCCTACAGCGTTCGACGGTAATTTTCGCACGATAGCTTAATAAACGTTTAAAATCATGTAGTTTGTCTCAACGCCTTTTGTTTTTCGATCTTTTCTTTGTCCGAATTACGAAAGAGGAACAAAACGAATTTCGCTGATTGGCTGATCATTAGAAATTAACATAGGATTGGCGGAGATGCGGAAGTTATCGAACCAAAACCGCTGACTAATAACACACAAGTAGTACAATACTTTATGTGCCATATGTACCAGTATGCGCATAATACCGCGCGGCTAAATTGTAAAACATTTTGGAAATGTAAAAAATGCGGAAAGGCGTAGTTTAACAGGGAACTTCTGATACAACTGCGAAGCAAAATTTTGTACAATGCTTAAAACAATCATGTAGTTTGTCTCAAAGGGTTCGTTTTTCAGTTTTTTTCTTCTCCGCGTTACGATACGGTTTCGAAACGAATTTCTGATTTCATTGGCGAAAAAAAGAAAAGGATAACTGTACCTTAACGGGCAAGGTACATACAAAAACTAACATAAGTAAGTATTATTAAAAAGAAGGGAATTTGATGAGCACAATAAACGTCCCTGTAATCCGCAAATTCTCGACTGGAATATATGATTTCCGATAGTGTTCTTGCCGGTGAGTCAGAAGGTAAGGGATTTTCGCCGGTCAGATAGAAGTACAGGGATTTTCTCCGGCCAGATAGAAGTACAGGAATTTTCGCCGGTCAGACAGAAGTACAGAAATTTTTTGCTAATATGTTATTTGGCTCAACCTTCTTTGTAGACGACGGTTTTAGCGATAGCACTTCCATAAACAGAAGTATATGTATACACGTTCCGTTATAATTAACGGAACGTGTATAATCCAAAACAAACCGCTTTCCGATCAGTTAAATTTCGTTTCCTAAATCTTATAAAATCTTTTTTTTATCTTTATAAAACTATCACATTTCTTTCATCAGTACTAAAAATTCTCAACCGAGGCCGGAGGCCGAGGTTGAGCTTGTAACAATAACCAAACTGGCCGTATCACCGTGTACCGTATACGGTAGTACCGGGTACGAAGTCTGTAAAAGTTCTATCAAAGTGCAGTTTATTGCCCTTGCAACGGAGCGGTTGCCCCCTCTAGGCTTCAGAGTGTAATAACAATAGAGAAGGAAACAGAGTGTAACAACAATATCGCAAAAAAAAATATCGCCTGTTGGCTTTTTGCGCGAAAACGGAAAGCGTCCGGATGGAGCCACGCGCTGGAAATGGTATCGTGGACAGCCTTTAGTTTGGGACGTTACTTGCAGAGACACGATGGCTGATTCATACATCGACGCGACCTCAAAGTGTGCTGGCGCCGCCGCTGAACTTGCATGCCGGGAGAAGATAAGAAAATACAAGTCACTTACTGATCGCTGTTATTTTGTTCCCTTCGCATGCGAGACTTTTGGCACTTGGTGTGAGACCGGCATTGTTACGTTAAAGGAGATTGGTAAAAAGTTGTTTTTAAGGACGGGGGAGAGTCGCTCTACTTGTTTTTTGTTTCAGCGTTTAAGTTTGGAGATTATGCGTGGTAATGCTATGGGACAAATTCTTCATCTTCTTTGATCTGATTTGTTGAGTGAAGCTCGCTTTGTACATATTGAGAAATAAAGTCCACTCGCAAAATACTGAAAATAGTAACAGGAAAACATGAAGGTCAACTCAAAGCTATACAAAATAGGCAGGAACACAAAGGCAAAACAACAAGCGTTAGCTATATTAACACATGAACAGGTATAGAGAGTTGGCGCTGTGGTTGCGAAAAGTTGGTGTTACCTATGTGGAAAAAGGGAGGGAAACGGTCGCGCTGGAGTCGATGCATAAAACCAAAACCCACACAACTTAGTAGTTATCGGACTTCCAAAACATTTTCAAAAGAAAAAATCCGTGGGGAAAAGGAAAGCACCGACACTTACGCACATAATCGCCTTTTAGTATCGTTGTCAAATGTCAACTATATCGCAACCGTGAAACAGGAGTAGGAAAATACTTAAGTGCCATTAACACTAAAATACACTCTTACATACTTTCAAAAACGTTTTTACGAGGGCATTAATCATGTCATAAGTTTTTTTTAGCTTTAAAATTTTGATTGTTGAAAAAAATTTATTCTGCTGTTCACCGAAACATTTAATGTACCGTTTCGTAATGGTAGGGCAGTGAAGGTCGCAATATTCCGCTAGCATTGCAGGATTTGCAGCCACACACCGTTGCGATCGTACCAAAAGTATCGAGCGAACATACCAAAGTATACCAAACGTATCGAGCGAATATACCGAATCCGGATGTACCGGCAAAATTTAATGTCGACATCACACCAATAAAAATCAATTATTTACGTCCTATGTCGAAATCTGGAGCGTTTGCCTGCTTTAAAAACTACGTAGTAATTAACACAAGATATGCAGACTTATTGCAATGTGAGCGGCGTTCCGTTTCCAGTGCAATTCTTTTGCGGTCACTCAAGTGCTCACAGAAAGCACAATTATTACGAAAAACCAACCTTCAACATTATCCGTAACTTCAAATTAATGGTTGTGTGAGAGCTACGGAATAGTTCAATAGAATAGTTCGCTATGTTCAAAATAGTTCAATAGATAGTTAAGCGAGCGGTATTACACATTTGCCAATGTTTCCCGATGTTGAAAAGCCGGTACTATGGCCATGGTTTTGTTTTGCCATGATAATACTGCCGCATACGACAGTCGTCATTACTCGACGACGACGGCGTCGCCAACAACGGCAACGATCCACCCAAGTGTTTTCCCATCGCAGGGCTTCTAAACCAAACCAAACCGAACGAATCCGGTCAACTCAGCTTTTTATTTATATTTCCATATTGTGCGTCAAGGCATGTTTTGACTACTGGTCAGACATGAATATTTCGTTGATCCCATATAGTGCCATTTTGCTGAGCTGGGTCGTGTCCACTTGTGCCAGATCAACGTTCATCCAGGAGCGGGGTTCGCCCTCTGAGTGAAAACCGCTGAACCTGCAATGCACATACCAATGTTATTTACGTTAGTACGTAATAATTATTATTATGATATAATTTATTACTGACATTTCAAAATAATATTCACATCAAGTACGAATGTAGAAATCTTTGTACAATTTGTTTTGATTAGATACAGCACAAGGAAGTACAGTACATTTATCGTCTACTTCGCCGCAACAATATGATAGACAGTTGCCACAGTTCTTCGCGGCACCTGTACCGTCAGGTTTCTGGCTGAGGCGACTTACAGTGAAAGGTAGCTGCGAATGGTGTCCCATTCATTTGGCTCCAACAGGTCGCGCAGCCAACGCGCATAAATGGCGTTGACCTTTGCCTGCATTTCGTCCGTAACCGGCGGAAAACGCGCATTGACGGCCCACATGATGCGGCTGACCATGTAACCTTTGCCTTCGTGGCAGCCAAGAACCAGCCGTGGCACGGTAATTTCCAGCTTATCAATGGTCAGCGTGTCGTCCCTTCCGAGAGGCAGCATTAAATTCTTTTCCCGAGGTGGCAGAGGAAGCAAATCCATAAATCCTTTTTTAGCAAAGATTTCATACATTGGGGGGCCAAAAAGATTACTGACTTTCCAGTTATGCCATACGATGCGATCACAGCAGTAATCAAACAGGACTGTAGCTTTTGTGACATGATGTGTCAAGTCAAATTTTTCGTTAGTGATGCTGATGCACGTTCCACGGCTGTCCATGATAAAGTCCTTCAATACGACCAAGGGCAAGCGAACCTTCACGGCTTTCATGGCCTCCAGTAAGAAAACCAGGAACAGCGCCCGATCGCCGAGAGATCTTGTTATTATCGTCAAGCTTTTGGTCGCTGGGTTGATGGTGCGAGTCAGCAGCGCTGCCACTGCGAAGCAGTTGTAGTTGTCGGACGTAGTTTCTTTAGTCATGCTGTCCAAACATAGGCGGATGTGCTCCGTTGTGCCAGGACTGCTCAACAGCAGCTGCCATAATGCGCATACTCTGTTCAAACCATCAAAGGTCACACTCTGTTCAAAACCATATCGGAATGCAAACATACTGTCGCCGCCAGAAAAATTTGCACCACTGTCAGATCCGGCCACTGTCTTTCCCTGTCGGGCATCGCACACGTAAATAGAACGGTGAGCACCTTGTAACACTTTCACGGTGACACCGTACACAAACTCGTGGTGCAAGTCCATGTGGCGGTTAGAGACTACAGTAATACTATTTCGTCATAAATCATAATATCGATTGAAAGCGTAACTGAAAATGTGGAGGAAAGTTAAAATAGGACTTCATACATACATTCATTAACTACTTCATACATACATACATTCATTCATTACTTCATACATACATTCATTAAAATATGACTTCATACATATAATGATTATCAAGAGAAAAACGGGACTTGTCAAAATTTTCTACGACAAAGTTACGCGAGCTGGATTGGTTGATCTAATTCATGCGCACACAGAAAGGTTACAAGTCACGATTCTCGTTAATTCCCATGCCTGTTAGTTTTCTGAAAGGAAGCGTAGCCATCCTGTCCGTTTGCCATTCTGCCACTACACTTGGTGGCACTTATAAATCTTCCAAGCCGATTTTATATAAATCAAAATCGAGCAAATCTGGTATCTGTGTGATGTGGTGTCGATATGTGTGTTCCGAGTAGCTCCCCAAGTAAATTTAGAAAAAACGATCGGTCGAGTCTGATTCGGTTTACTAACAGACCAGAGCGTGGCCCCTGCCGTTTTGGCGTTTTCTTTAGCCCACCAGCGCGGAATGCGATTTCGACATATAAAACGGTATTTCGGTATACAAGCATTTCGGCATAAGGGTATTTCGGCACATATATTGTCATTCAAAAATCATATGTCAGTCAGTGCAGATACCGGCAGGAAAGCGCTACTATAGTCTGTACGTACTATCGTAGTATGTTCAAAAAATATTTTCATCTGCTCTGACCAAATGGGGCGAGGCCAAACAAAATTTAAAGTTTACATGTTATCACATACCAGCACCTACATGGAACTAGTTGTAGACACGGGGTACAGGTTTTATCGGTATTTTTATTTTGTTTTTGCAGCAATGATTTTGTTAATAACGAAATTTTGTCATGCTGAGCCTGGCTGTGCATGGTCAGCTCTAAGTGACCCAAGATTCCAAGAAGCGATGTTGGGCATTGCAGCTTAAAGCGTGGACGGTAGTCACGGTACGTCACTGAAGCAGCTGTTGAGCATCGGCATAACCGACGCCAGCGTGCGGTGGGCTGCCAGAGCGCACATTTTCGAAAATTTCTTGTGAATTACTACAGTCTGTATATACGTAGGTTAAAGTTGTTCAATACGTAGGTTAAAGGTTAAAGTTACATAGTGCAAAGTTGTAAAAACAGACAATTTTATACGGTTGTGTTTTCAAACAAGTCGATAACGAATTTTTGAAAATGTGTCACTTCGGAAGCAGAGGCACGGCATGCGGGCGTGGGTAACGTCGATACTCGACAGCTGCAGGAAGCCAGAAATCAACAGTTACTGCAAATAATGCAATGCCCGTAAAATTAGAAGAAAATTACCGACAGAACTGGCACTCCACTGCACTCGTATGTGAAAACATGTTAACTTTAAATTTTTATTTGGCCACGCCCTACTGAATACAGCAGACGAAAATATTTTTCTGAACATACTACGATAGTACAGACTATAGTAACTTTGTACAAAAAATGAGAATTTTTTGAATATGGAGCATACGTACAGAAGTAAAACAAAGACAGTTGACGAAAGTTTAATTAACTTCTGAACACTTTTTCTAGAGACTGTTTTAACTTGGATTTGGTCAAAACTGCAAATATTGAGAGTGTTATCAAATTTCCTAAACTGAGAACGTACCACTTGAACCTCATTTGGGAATGCAGATCCAGGTAAGAACAGATTTCACTGACGATCCAGTGAGGTAGATAAGAAAACAAAACTTCTGACGTTAAAGACGATGGCTCGATTCGGATCGCTAAAATTTATTACGAACATTGTTAGGTCGAACAAGTGGAAAACTGGAAATGTTTACAATTTACACCGATACTGTATTTACACGATATTAAGGGACAGAGAAATCCCCTGGACCGCCCGCACTAGGTGTCGGCTCCATTGATGTCAAAGGAACCGACATGGTGCGGGCGATCCAGTTCTGATCCTATCGTGTAAATACAGTACTTATAATATAAGCATGGGCCTACAGTACAGTGTAAATACAGTACTTATAATATAAATATAAGCCTACTTGGCATCGGCTTCCTCTGTGCGCCCGCTTATCTCCAAATTATGCCCTTTTCTACCACCGACCGACACAACTTCCGCAACTTTGGCTTGGAAGTTGCTTACCGGCTTGAATGATGTGCCAGCTGAACCCCTCCACGGCATCCAAAAAGCCTGGGACACTCCTGCGTCCTTGCGTGCACTTTCTGACCTTTCAGCACTCCGTGTCTCTGCCAGAAGTCGCACACTTGACGGTGTCAACACCAGAATCGGGTTATTGGATTCACGCATTGCCGGCTGCTTGCCTAGGTAATCTGCTGGAAAATATCGATTTTCAGACCAGCGTCGCTCTACGTTTAGGTGCTCTATTGTAACTCCCCATGAATGTAAATGCGGCGAATGGGTAGACGAGTTCGGGAGACATGGACTGCGGTGCAAACGATCAGCCGGACGACTACCCAGACATGATGGCATCAGCAAGGAGTTCGCTCGCGCGTTAACGACGGGTGGTTTCCCTGCCAGAGTGGAGCCGAAAGGATTGGCCTTAGTAGGTAACAAAAGACCGGATGTAGTTACGCTTGTCCCCTGGGAACGTGGTAAACCACTCGCAATAGACGTAACCTGTGTGGACACTCTGGCAACTTCATATCTCGACCGTACAGCCGTCAATGTCGGTGCCGCAGCGGAACTAGCCGAAGCAAAAAAGCTCGCAAAACATGCGTGGCTTCAGCCAAGGTACAATTTTGTTGCCGCTGCCTTTGAAACATACGGACCTTTGGGCGACGGAGCTAAGATGCTGGTCGATAAAACCGGACAGCTCATCGCGACCACTACCGGGCAACCACGCGCGAAAGAATTTTTCCGGCAGCGGATCTCCATACAGATTCAAAGAGGAAACGCTATGTGCGTTATGGGCACAATACCGGATCAGGAGAAGTTAGAGGAAATTTTCTTGTTATAGCATGTGAAAACTGCATTTCTTTTTTTGTCTGTGTTTGTATTATTTGATTTTTGCTTGAACGATGTTAATACACTTGTTACTATCTACGTATATCTGTACTGTGTAAGCATGGGCCCTATAAAACAGGGCGGTAAAATAGGCACGCGAAACGGGGTGTCTGTAGTAAGCGGAGATGGACTAGTGGGTAGCCTACAGTGATTTCTTTAAAAGGAATAACACACTACATCGCTCACTAAGATCGGGATAACTAACTTGTAAGATTTTTATGATAAATCATAGCGAGTATCGACCATAAAAGGAACAAATACTGGGCCGAATTCGGCCTATTATTTGTTCATTTTATGGTGGTTACAAAGTAGCTGTCTCGGTGTCACCTCGCGCAGTTTCCGCCTACCTGACGTGTTGATATCCGTTTCGCTGGTGGAGTCATTATCAAAACAAATCGGGAGTAAGTCGGCTCGGGTCGCTAGGTGCCTCTCCACTACCGTACACAGCTTTGACATTGTCCTCTGCTGCACATCCGCGCTCGTTCCGACGCCGATGACCACAAACATGCAGCCGCCCGCTTCGATGCGCAGGTGAAACCGACAGCAATCTGTGAGGTCTGAAAGCGCCGGATCGCCCTCAAAAGCTTCGCGAAAATGCTTAATCACGCGCGATTTGTCGGCCGGTTGGTCAAGCACTTTTGATTGGCTGTACCAATGGAAATGCAATATTTCGCATAACCCAGTCCGCTGTTGCGGTACCACAACGCCGGCTCAGTGAACCATTCCAAGCCGAGAATCTGGCGGCGATCGATCAGTTCGATTCGAGCGCTGGTTGAACCACCGCTGTGGACAGTTGTCTCGACGTAATACATACAGCACTGGTTACATGCCGCAACAGCAAATATTATAAAAACCGACTTGAACCGGAATGGACCGTCGTCTTCGTCGCGGAGTGCCGCGTAAACAGATTTGTCGCGCTGGTGATTGTCGACGTGATTGTACCATGGCATCGGGTAAACCAGCGCTGCATCAACCCACCCGGGTTTGACCTTGTTCGAGTCGAAATCAACGAACACTTGGTCGCCGTTGATGTCTTGAATAAATCCCAGCAAAACATCACTTTTGTCACAAACTGCAACTGTGTTTTGGTAGCTCATCTGATTGGCGCCAGATAGCAGCCGGCGGAATGGCCGGAAAGGAGGCATCGGTGCGGCCTCGGCGTCCATTGCCTGCTCAAACCTACAGAAAGCCCGCCAAGCAACATGATGACTACCAAATTACCAATCATATTTAAATTTCACGCACACTGCACTTGTTGGTAGTTAATAAGTCGAGATAACAATGGCTATTGTTAAAGTGGCTGAGGTACCGGTTGCGGACGACGGCCTGTTTGTTTTAAACTGTTCCTTACTAATCAACGCCGCTTCCGTACTCGGAAAAACAGATGGAACGGCACTGGCAGCGTACATGAGATTTTGTTGTTGTGATTAACTATTTTTTATCTGTCCTGTACGCTGTAAATGAAGTTCGAGTTTTTGAAATAAAATAAAATAAAGTTTGACCCAACATAAGTACAGAATACTGTACTTGAAGTTTCTACCTATACGTACGTTCAGTCCCTTATGGGAAAATCGTACGTTATCGTCAGATTAGCGCGCATAACTTGTTTGTTATGATAAATCGGAGATCTGGGGGTATTAGCGGTATTTGCAAACAAACGATAATTGAAAGACAAGTAAAACTTGATGTTCACACAGAACAAAAAAAAGACTTTTTTATATTTATTTGTGTTAACATTGTATTATTTAAGTTTTTAAGTATTATCTGTGCCAGTGCTAGTAGATTAGGCTACATCGTCATTCCCGCTTTCTTTTAAAGTTTTAATTAAGACCTATCTGCCATCGATCTAGTCCGCGCGATTTAAAAGCACTGGCAAGAAAAGGAAAATACAGATAGTTACACTGGTAATTCAAAGCTTGCAATTCAAATTTACCATTTAACAATCTAGTAGATAGGCTCAGGGGATAATTATTACACATGCCCTGCGCAATAAAGTTTTAAGCCACTCATTGTTCATAAAAATTTTTCGTTTGTGTTTTCACCGCTGGAACTTGGCACTGGCAGCCTCATAAATGATAAACTTTTGAAAACTGCGACTTCCATATTATAACTTCAGAATGGCACGTTGCTCACACCAGTTCACAATAGTCAGCTCTTAATTCTCTAAGAAATCGATTACTTACAGAGCTACAGTTACTGTAATAATATCGACACCTGAGAATCTCTTAATTTAATTTCTAAGACTAAGTAACGCTATTATAGTAGCGCGATAAATAATATTACTATGTACGCTGTACTGCGTGCAATAATTATTATTTGTTACAATCTCACGTACCTCAGTATCTGTACTTGGCCTCACAGGAAAATCAATGATTTTCTTATAATATTATGCACGTGAGAAGGCTGAGATTGCCGAAATGACTAATTATTTTTAGATCGGGAAACAGCTGTCCCGTTTGGACTTCCTAAAAACATTGGGGGCTGTGATTTTCTAGCTAGCTAACGTAATCAATTCTGGAGCGGCTGACAGGAAAATTAAAATAATACGCTCCGCACTATAAACAAGTGGTACGCAAATGGTACGCAGCATATGTATATGCTACAGGAAAGCGAACAGCCTTTTTGACCCTTGCGTTCGGTTGATCAGTGCAGCGCTTTGATACCGACTACAAATAGACTGATGACATCCAACTTCAGTGCAGACAGGAAGCGCATGGCGACTGTATAATATTACAAGTCAGCACATGCGCAGGAGTACGCGAGTACAGTATGTATAAAGTGTATCTATATGTGTGAGACCGAGCGCTGAATGCTCTGCAGGGAAAATTAAGTATGTTTTTAACCTCGGGGACTGGACGATTGTGTGTAAACTATTTGCCGAAGTATTTGTCCGAAGGCTGTGAAACAAAAGCCAATGTACTGAAAAGCAAAATAACAACATAAGCCAACGTACTGTATAAACGTAACTGTTCAAAAAAATCCGATTTTCTAAGCCTTCAAACGTCCAGTACTGCAAACGTGCCGACCGCCGAAGGCGGGAGGCTACTTTGTAATAATAAGCTTTAATAATTACTCGTATATTATTTTTTATACGTGTTCAAGCACACATACGGTGGTCATGTTTCGTTCAGACATTGCTCTAGGAGAACGAGAGGAATGAATGAACATTTTACATTCCTCTCATACTCCTAGAATGTTCATTTATTCCTCTCGTAGTAGAATTCTCCTAGAATTCTCTTAAAATTAAAACTAATTCGCAAAATAAACTAAACTTGAATTCTCCTAATTTGTTTGAAACGGCTTTCGCTTTCCTGCTCTTATTTCACGGTTGCGATATACGTAGTTAGCAGTTACCAACGATATCAATAGCCAATAGGCCATACGTGCGTAAAAGTCGGTGCTTTCCTTTCCCCACGGTTTATTTTTCGAAAATTTTCAGTAATTTGATAACTACTTTACATAGTAAGTGTTTTTTGGTTATACAGTACGCATCGACACCAGCGCGATCGTCTCCCTCCCTTTTTTACATAGGTAAACCGTAAAATCAACTTTTCGCAACCGTAATAAAAAAATACTGACTTCCTTTCTACCTGTTCATGTGA